TATGGGAGAGGAGGATTATTAAAAACACAATCAATAGTATATTTAAAACAAATGAATGAATGAAGGCTGATATCAATTTTAGGGCGACTCAGTTTCAAAAGAGGTTACTGTTTAATTTTATTTGTCATGCTATATTGTTGGGAAACGTATTCGTAAGAGTATGGTCCTGAAACTGAAGCTTTTGGGACTGCAGATCTCTCAGGCGGCCACACACTCTGATCATAAATTTATTATAATAGTGCTGGGTAGCTTTAAAATATGGCTTTGAATATCAATGCTACATACTTAAATAGCTTCATGGTTTTAACTAGAAGGATATACTTCATACAAAAAGGATATACTTCATATAAGGTCATGTTCTTTCTTTAATAAATGCCCTTATATAGATTTATCCTCATTTAATTTAAACAGAAACGATTTGCCAGTCAAGTGGTGAAAATCGCCTTCAAAAACGAAGCATCTCGCTTAAGCTTGGAAGAGAATAGCGCTCTGAAGCATCAGTTTTGATTAGGAAATGTTGCAGTACTGCACCCCATTTCAATATTTATGTCAATCCTATACTGATATATGTATATCAGTCATCTCAGTATGGTGGCACCGCTATTCAGATTGTGAATCATTAATTTTTGATTCAACCTATTCCCTAACGCCTTTCGGTGTATCTGGACAACAGGCTGAACACCCTTATCAAATGATTTTCATCATGACTCATGTACTTTTACTCCAGAACTGATACCCTGGATGTGCCCTCACTCTCTGGACCCCTCCGTAGCCACTTAATCTAAGCAACGGCGCTCGCAATATAAGTAACAAACAAGTGGAGAAGCTAAAGGCGGGTGTCCCGACTTTGAAATACTCTGTACATATGTATAGAATATTTTTATACCCTGTACCCGTAGGGTAAAAAGGGTATATTAGGTTTGTGCAAAGTATGTAACATACAGAAGGAAGCATCTCCGACCCCATAAAGTATATATATTCTTGATCAGCATGACGAGAGAAATCGATCTAGACATGTCCGTCCGTCTGTCCGTCCGTCTGTCCGTCTGGATGAACGCGAGGATCTCAGAAACTATAAAAGCTAGAATAACCAAAGTTGGCATCCAGATTCTCCTAGATCCGAGTAAGGACGAGTTTATTTTATTTTTTTTAATTTTCCCCTCCTTCCCCCGCTACAGAATTTCGTCAATAGCGTCCACATTTCAATTGCTACCTAAACCAAACTTTGCACACAAATTTTATAAATAATTATCTACTGTTGCTTAAAATTTTATTCAATTTGGTCAATTCTAAGAAAAGTTATTAGCGAAACAAATTCTCGCCAGTACAACCCCCACAAACTGCAGCAACAAGTTCGCTCTTCTTCTTCCTCTTCTTGCTGCTGCTTTGGGCGCATATAACTCAGTGACGGAAGTTTACCTGGGTACAGGGTATTACACTGTCGGGCTTGCTCGACTGTAGCGTTCTCTCTTGTTAGAAATTAAAAAGAAAATTGGATCGATTTTTCCTCCCTTGGTATTCGAACTCACGTAAAGGCTGCACAATTGCACATTTACAAAGGAATTTTGTCTATGTGAATGTATGGATGTCTATGCGTGTCTATTCGTGTCCGTGTAAGATTCTGGGAATTACGGGAGTTATGAAAAATCGCTAATTGTAGTGGTGAGCGGGGAGGGAGGGAATTTCCAAAAAACACATCATCCAGGTATTCACATAGTGCATCTTGGACTAAAATTTGGTCTCCCTAGGTCTTACAGTCTCTGAGATATAGGTAATTACGGAAAAACCCTATTATCGGGGAAGTGGGGGGAATAAATAAATAAAACAAACTCGTGTAGCGTACACATATAGCTCGAATAGTCTTCGAGATCCAGGTGTTCATACTGACAGACAGACAGACGGACATAAACTATACTTTGTGGGGTCTGCCACACCTCCTTCTGCCTGTTACATTTTTCACCTCCCGCAAATCTAATATACTCCTGTACATGAAATGTATAATAGAGAGTATAATAATAGAACTAAAAAGAGAAAAAAGAAAGCTCGCAAAAGCAAAACAAAACAAAGCAAACTAAACTACAATGCAATGAGTATATGTACATATACTTTGATTAGGGCATTTCACAAATTTGATTAAATTTAACAATCGTTGCCAATTGCTCTGGTTATTGCGTCTCAAGCTCGCACCTTGACCCCATTGCCGACATACACGTGTCGGGGATTGGGCGAGCATGGGGGAACGCGAATGGGTCGCGAAAAGTGTTGGGCAATGGACAACTTTTCCGGATTCAAAGTCCAGCTCGCGAAAATTTCCGACAGAAAAACAATAATGAAATGTAAGCAGTAATAATGACTGTGCAGATCGTGACAAGCAACGAAAGCCTCAAGCTCCAAAAAGAATCGAATTGGGCATCCATAATAGATTCCGATAATTCGAGTCGTTCGTATGCAGATGGGTGTGCAGAAGTCGGGTCCATAAATGGCGGACTATTGGATACTTAGCTTCAAGAGGAATCCACGTCCGGCGCTCTGTGTACGCCAAACGGCGAATGGACGGAACTCGCAATTAGATAATGAGTCTTTTTAAGAAACGATCGCGACATCGATCGAGAGACACCAGAGACTTTTGACTGACTGTCTGACTGACTGGCTGTCAAACAATTTTGGTTGGATACAACGACCGCTCAGCCAGATGAACGAGTCTGTTCGTGTTTTTGTTTATGTCAAGGCAATAATATATATGTATATGTATGTATAATATTCGAGCATTATAATTACACATGATCATGAGTAGACAGACATGTTTGTAAATAAGTTATCATATGAAGGAGCTGGCCACTTTCTTATGCCAAACACGTTCGGACCTTTTGTGATTTCAGCTGCTGCCACTGGAGTGATGAATGAAATTACGAAATTCTGTCATTGCAGCTGTACTCTAGATAAGCGAACACGCTGGTAGCTTGTTGAGTTGGCATGATCGCGAGTGATCGGATCATTCTTGAGAATCCAATCAAATTGGTACGATCCTGTCAACAAGCCAGCAGTGATTTCGAAATCAGCAAATAGCCATAAAATAGTCATGTGATCAGTTCATAGAGTAGCTGAAGATCAATAATAAAGATTTGTAAAGGTCAGTAATCGATTTTATTGCTCATCTAACACAATATTCATTCCACACTGAATATATTTACTAAATAATGCCATGTGATCAAGGACTTTCAATTCGTAAATGTATGTGATCCAAGAAAGATCATCTGAAAAAAGATGATGCGATCAATAATAAAATGTTCGATTTGAAAAGATAATTTATTGCACATCTTTTCACATTTACTTGTCGATCAAATAATAATTAATTCATGGCAAGTTCGGCAGGAAATAAACAATTTCAAAACTGTTGTTTATCAACATCTGCATAAATGAGTTTAAGCATTTAACTGAATATGCATTTAAAATTAGTTGACCCAGTTGGCTGATGACTCATTTTTAAGAGAGATTTGGCTCTAAGTATGTATATTAGAATAGCGCCGCTACCGTAAGAAAAAACGTTCGCCAAAATGTGAATCCATTTCTTCGAAGAATTTATGAATTTCCTCGAAACTTGGCAGGCACACAGACTAAGTATTTGCCAAGATACATGGGGACGGTGACTCCCTGGTATAAGCGTCATGCATACGAAATTCGTTGACCAGGCAGCTGACGTCAAAGGAAGACAAATCGAAGAAATGCCGAAAAGCATACAAACTCTGAAAGGGGGCTTTTGTCTAAGTGCCTGGAAATTTTTAGTCGCCAATCGTTGATTCGTTGCTGAATCAGCAACAGTAGCTACAAAGTAAGCTCCCCCTCGCCAATCAGTGATAACCACTCAAAAGATTAGCTGATTAAAAGGGGACTCAGGTGGGTTGACTCTGAAAAGGGGCGCACATGCCTGGCTCAATAAAAATAAGGCAATGTCGGCAATAATATCGCCCGGTTCCACCGAGCCGCACTAGGCCATTAAGCCATTGCTTATATGGTAGGGCCCCTACGCGAAAATCTCAAATCGCACAATCATGGCCAACAGCCAACGGTGCACCATAAAAGCCTTCAAACGATCGCAGCGTGACAGGAGCGACTAATTATTTATGAGATGTTACCAGTTGATAAGCAAAGCAGTACAGGCTCAGCCTCAGGTAGTTTCCACACCAAAGAGCTTCGAGTGCTAGCCGAAAGCGCGCTCTCTTCGCTGCCTTTTTCACCTTTGCGCTCGCTCATTCTTTTTACGCGCTCCCTCTCTTCGACGCGCTCTTTAATTGCAGCGTGTCCAATTCGGTTTACGAGTATAATGCAAATTCGTATGTGAATGCAAAACGTTTCGACACGCGCACTCCACGACTCTGCTTATATCATATGGCAAAGGCTTGCAAAAGCCTTTGAAAGCGGAGTGTGTGTGTGTGTCTGTGGCACGCCCAAGGGTAAATGCAATAGAAAGTATATTCAATATACGATTCAGTAGACCGCAAAAATTAGCTATAAATTAATTATTGATCAATGAAAAACTACAAAATAACTTTTGTATAGTATGAATTTTAAATCGACCTCAGCATATTCAGTAATAAATGCATATTTTGCAAATAAATGCTAAAAATTATTATTAAAAAAAATGTGGATGAACTATTTTATTTCGCAACTTCTTTGGAATAAATATGATACAGAGTTGAAGATTAATACAAATTAGACGAAATCAATTATAGCAGCCCCTCTCCCCCTCCCACCCACAAACATATTAACAGCAATTAACAAGGTAAGAAAAGAAGAAGAAGAAGCAAAAAAAGAAAAGAAAATAAGTGTAACAGGTGCGCTCTTCCACCACAGTGCTATCGATGATGCCTGGCTCGGCTCTCTTTCGAAAAGAACTCATGCACACCAGCCAGTCGCACACACACACACACACACTCACACACATGCACGAGCTATATAAAACGTAACGCTGCCGCGATCAGCCATTCAATCGCACACATTAACTCGCCGCGTCGACTTCGCACGATCGCTCTCATCAGACGCGTCCGTTTCCCTACCCTTCCTTACAGCTACTATTATTTTTTTCGCCCACGACTTGCACAACGCGCGCGTTACACTTAAAAAGATACAAAACTAAACAAAAAGGAAACAGATTGGAAAGAGTTAATGTTAAAGTAGGAACAACAACTACAAGCCACTATACTAACCCACGAACACCAAGCAACTTAAACTAAAGCACAGACATACACACATACTCGACTCGTATGTATATGTGTAACTAAATTTTTTTTGCAAAACTTTAAATACGTGTATTCAAGCAGATAATCAAACAAAGCGCAAAAAATAAAACAAAAAACCAAAAAAATAAACGAAGCAACGAAAGTAAAGCAAGCGTAAGCTAAAAACTGAAAAGTGCAGCAATTAACAAAGTAACATTGATAAATCAAGAGAGAGAAGAAGCAAAAGGTGAACAAATGCAAAAATGTGCCATAATTCGGGCATTGAGAGTGAACTGCAAATCCAACGGTATGTCTCCGTTGGTATGCCGGAGAAGGCGATCAAAAAAGTGAAGTACACGCTGCGCAAGCGCGAGCAAAAGAAGCAGAAGCAGCAGCAGCAGCAGCAGCAACAACAGCAGCAGCAGCAGCAGGATCAGCAGCAACAACAAGAACAAGTTGATGTGAGCAGCGGTAGCAGCAACAGCAGCAGCAACGAGGATGAGTCCAATGATGAGCAGGAGTTAATGTTCGATATTGATGCAACAATTGGCAACAATCATAGCAACAACAATAACAGCATTGCTGCAACAAGTGCAGAGATTGCTGCTGGCAGCATCAGCGACAACAATAGCAGCGAATGCAACAACGCTGTGGAGGTGCAAGCGTGCCCAGAAAACGCAGAAAATGCGGGCACACCAACAGCAACAATGCTGACAGCGACAGCAACAACAACGCAGCTGGCGGCAGCAGCAGCAGCACCAGCACCAGCAACAGTTAAAGAAGAAGAAGTAACAACACCACCACCCACCATTTACACTAGCAGCGACCTTTTGAAAATACCCAAGATGTGTGGACGCTATCGCAAAATTCAGCAATTGTTGCAACTGCAAAAACAAGTTGAGCCAACAGCAGCAACTGCAACAGCAACTGCAACTGCAACAGCAACTGCACCAACTGCAACAGAGACAGCAACACTAACTAAGCAGCAGCAGCAGCGCAAACTTAGCTCCATGGAGCCCTCCATGGACGATGCTCTGGCCATTGGCACACAATTGACACGCCAATTGGCGGAACGTGTTTACATTTTGGTCGCCCGTCTACAAAACAGTCGCCTATACACGTGAGTAAACATTAATATACAATATACAACAAACATCAAATTCCATGGGACACATGCCAATCAAATCGTTATCAATATCATGAACTCGTTAGTGATCAGCAAACGGCAATCACGCTCCACATTGCCCATCCGGCGCCAGATAAAGCAATAGGGCTGGCGGTGTCAGGCGATAGACAAATAGAGTGCTTCCTTCCCACTTACCTGGCACTTGTCAATATTTATATTATCGTATGGTAATCAGTTTCATTTTCATTCGCCGCTGTCTGGACGATTGCGAATATAATATAAACTACATATAAACCGTTGTGCAAACAGCTGAGCTTTATAATTAACCTTAGTGAGCCCTCAACCGATCGTGCCATCACTGAACATTTTTTAATCATTCTCTTACTCAATGCTTACTCAATTCTAATTAACAAAAAAAATATTGTGCAACTATATATTAGGAATTGACCGAACTCTGATAAATTAATCTAATAAATAGGTTAAGTAGCTCCATGATAGTAAAAGAGATCAGTAAACACAATATCTAGGTTTAATTAGCCATTTAATACATTTGTAATAACCACCAAGCGATCGCAGGCCAGTGACTGAAAAGTGATCGTAAAAGAGATCAGAGACTGATCGTGTCTCATTGTATCGCTTAAGTGACTCAAAAGTGATCGTAAAAGAGCTAATAAGTGAGCATAGCTAGTAAAAGATCAGCGATTACTAATTGAAAATATTTCTCATAACCGATTAAACATTTTAGCAGGCTAAGGTGATTTAAAAGTGATTTCCAAATTATGTTCACTTAGAGTGATCAACAGTTTTTTTGCGGGAACTGTTAAGACTGTAACAGTTTAATTATAGGTAGCCACTGGAAATCGATGTTAATAAACGTACAAGTATGAGCAAGTTATCGCCTGTGTCTATTTAAAGCCACAGATTAATGTACAGCTGCAATTTCACAATGACCCATCATTTTTAGTAGTTCACAGATCCCCTTTAAGTATGCGACTGAGTCACTGTTTGTATTTACCGCAAGATAGCCAAAATCACATGCTGGCCATAAGCCATATAGCGCCGTTTCGTTATCAACACAAACAACAGCCCCGAACGGCAATCAAGGTATAATTAATACATACTATACATACGTAGTACGTATTATGTATATAGCGGCGACTCTAAGCGAGAATGCCCCCCCAAAGTCAATAGCAAGTCACTCTCGACCGCCTGCCTACCCAGTAAATCGCGAGCGTTACGTCACAGTCGACGACGACAACGACAACGACGTCGTTGGTAGTGTCAATAGAGTTCCCAGAACCGATGTGAAGGCGACGCGACGCGATCGCTTAGAGTGCAAAGTGCGCTCGAGTGTGACGTTGCGAGTGGAGGCCTAAGAACAAAAAAAAACCGGGCTAACATGCTTCTGAATCATTTCTAGATAGATGGGTGTGCTTGTCGGTGTGGATATGGGTGTTGCCTACCGTCTTATCGCTGGCGATTCTCGTTGTCAGCTGTGCAGCTGCAACAATAACTAATTGACAGCTGATTTCGAGGGAAAGACGATCGTTAAAATAGTTCAAAGCTTTTGCATAAAGTATGCATGAAATGTTGCACTCAATCGTGCCTGACAGCCCTGACTACCCAGCAACACCACCACCACCACCTCCCCACCCACCCACTATATCTGCATATAGCTTGTAAAACTATATGCGACGCATTATGTATGTATGTATGTATGTAGATTGTTGCTATTTCGCATTTCGTTTGGTGGCAATTTTGTATGAATGGAAAAGCGAAATATTTGGTTGCATGCGTTTTCGCACGTACGCCATTCGATGGCAATTCGCACAGCCAAGTCTCGAGCACGACGACAATGACAACGACAACGACAACTACGACTACGACTACGACTAGCCAGCCCAACGACCAATGGCACTGACCGGACCACAGCCGTACATAATCTATGCAAAAAAAATAAAAGCGGGGGGAGTGGCTACAAACGGGGGCGATTTGCAGAGGAGGGCGCGTGCGACTGAACAGCGATAAAGGCGGTCAAGTGCAAAATCCACACTAACCACTCGAGCTAGCTTATCAAGCAGGCGACGACTATCAGCTGTGAGAGACAAGCCATATACTTGTACACTCGTATATATACAAGCTCCAGTTTTATAGCCTCGTAACGACACTATCAAACGATCATAAAATAACCAAATCGTCTTAAGCGATTCTATTTATATTTTAATGCGAATGTAGAAATTTAAAAGATCCCACGGCAGAATTAGTCGGGTTCTTCAATTTTTGTAGATAAGCAAATAAATCAAGTTTATGTAATTAAAAGGGATCTTACATTTCTAAATACATAGCTGCGAAAATTGGCGCATTGCGACAACAATCTAATCGGGTCTTAAATGTGCCTGCTATTACAGTAGAAAAAAGATTTCGCTCATCCCATAAAATTCGTTCTGTTATCAATTTTAATCATCTATCTCACGCCATATATACAATCCGTTTTATACAATCCTACTAATTGCATTCCCTTCTCACGTCTTTGCAGTATTTTGACGCGCACAACACAGCCAGCACACCTGATCGCTATATGCATATTATCTTTTGTGCTGCTGACCGTTGGACCCGATCTCATTGAGAACAGCCCGACGGCGGAGATGGCGACGATGTCAAGTCAGATTCAGAGTCAGAGTCAGCAACAGGCCAAGCTGATATTAACAAAGCACGCGACGACCGGAACGTTGACACGCGACGGTGATGGGAACGTGGGAGTCGGTGCGGGCACGGGCACGGGCACGAGCACGGGCACGGGCACGGGTACGGGCAGCAATTGGGCAACGCTCGTCTATTTGGGGGCGTTTGCCACACATTTTGGCTCACAAATCTGGATGACTTTTGTCTCGGGTAAGTGTCGCATAACCAATGCGGATTGTTAAGAAGGACATCCCATACAAATATGTACATACATATAACATATCCCATTCTTCTAACCGAAATCGAAAGACTCTAGTTCGAATTCTAATCAATCAATTAAATTGTAATCCCAGGCTCCTAATGAACAGCAAAGCTTTTACAAAACTAGCATCGATAGAAAGCTATAGCAAAGGGCAATTGTTATAAGAGCCTTTTTGACCTAACAATACTAAACAATGCCTAGAAAAATGAATCATATTTCCTGCAGAATTAAACAAGAAATTTAATGCAAATTTTCATAATTCGCCCGATTAACGAGAAGAATAATAAAAAAGAATTTAATCAAACCCGATTAGCTCATTGGCACACTCGTTATTGCATTAGTAATAGAGTTTTAGTTATGATTTTTAGTTAGCTTCGAAATCTTTAACAATTTACTATTTAGTTTATAAATAAACTCTATAGCCAGTATTCTATCACATGCATGTTTCCGGCACATGCATACTACAAGTATAGTACAAAACAGACACTGAACAAGATAGATAACAGTTTTACGCCATCGCTATCATCGTGTATATCAACAATCCACAACAATCATCGTCAACTGTGCGACGTCATCCGCCATCCGTCAACGCTGCTCCTGTCCAGCTTGTGCGCCATCACCAACCATGTTCCGTCCATTGTCGTCATCTCAGCGCCTGTTCGTTATCGTAGGCATTGCTATCATATTTAAAACCACTTGATTATTGGCCAACACGCTAATGGGTATATTTTTATTCTCTCTTTTCGCCTGCAGGCCTCTCGCTGTACTTCTCATTACCACGTCACACATTTGGACAGTGCCAGCAGATATTGTTCCCGAAGTATTTCGCATTGAACGCCATGCTGAGCATCTCGATGCTGATCATCTATGTGAAATACTTTCTGAGCACGTGGACCACAGCGGCTGGACTGCAGCTGGGCGCACTGGCGCTGATGGCCGCCATTGAGGTGGTGGTACGTCTATATTTGGCGCCGCCGATGCTGCGTCTCATGCACGAGAAGTACAAGATCGAGGATGCCATTGGCAGCGGTCAGGAGGTGGGGAGTCTGGTGCAGGGCGATCTGGTGCAGTGTCCGCACTATCAGCGCATCCATAAGGCATTCCGTCGCATTCACATGACCATTGCGATTGGCAATATGATTGTGCTCTTGGCCACATGTCTGCAATTGTATTTTCTGGCATCGAAAATACGCATTAGCTAAGACGTGAAAATCCGCCAACCACCCACCCCCACCCGCACCCACACACACACACACACACACACACATAAACACACACACACACACACAGCATTTAGCAAGTATAAGACAATTTAGACATAGTCGAATTTTTTTCTGTTTGTGTAGTTAATTTTCGTGCAACGGTAAATGCAGAGGAACATATAAAGGCAGCGCCTAAAAGGCTGCAACGCTTTTTGTCTCAACAAACAAACATCATTGGTGAATAGATTTGAAGCAATCGCGTCTATGTTGAAAACATCCATGAAATGCAAAAATCACAATGAATTTCTACTTTTAGTGCACATCACAGTAATATTATTACACACTCACACACTCATCCCCTCTCACACCAACACACACCTATACAAGGAAATCCTGATTATGTATTTTAATGTCAACGATTGTCGCAAAGAAAAAAATTCAATTATTATTATTAAATTATGCATGTAATTTATTAGACAATTTATTTATGTATTTATTACACCAACAAGGGCAACAACAACGACATTAATCAGTAGCTTCTTTTTTTGTCTTCAGAGCAATATTTTAAAGTATTTATCCGAATTTCAAAAAATTGTTTTAAAAACTGTGATAAACTCACCGCTACTCTTTATTGCTCGCACACATTTAAACACACACACACACACACAAACACACTCACCCTTATCCCACCACCTTCAAGACACAACAACAACATCCGTAAACTCGCAAACAAACAACAAATGCATTTAGTTTAGTGCGTAGCCATTAATGTACACACAGTTATTAATTAATCGTAGTCATAATTAATTAAATTGTTTTTTTTTTTCAACTTTTTTTTAATACTGATATATCGAAATTATTTATGTGTATAAGTGTGTTACCTGTATTTGTGTTCGCATTATTATGCAGCACGCAAAATATCAAAATATAGAAAATGAATCAAAAAACACAAACAAAAAAATTAAATAATCTAAATAAAATGCAAATGTGTAAAGTTTAATAATTCAAATACATCATTTTCTTATACATATTATCTTCAGCGAAATCACAAGTATGTACAAGTACATATCCGATTCATCATTAGTGGACCAAACAGCACAAAAAGTATTGGAATAAAGGTAACAAGTATATCTTGGAAAATTTGATTGATGTTGGTGCATAAATACTACGATTTTCAAAAAATCTCAGCCATAATTAAACTCTGCAACTGAATTTAACAAAGAAACCAACTCTGGTTTGTTTTTGACAAAATGGAAATGTTTTCAACTTAAAAGAAGTGCTAGAGAACATAAACATAGAAGGAATACTTGAAAGGAATTTTAGAGAAAGCAAACATATGGCCAGCTGCTTTACTTTTACAAGAGCAGTACCAACAGCTGCCCATCCGTATTGCAATTAATGTTATACTTTCTGAAACTGGAAGCCATCTTCGTCGGCTGGCATGTAGAGAATGGCGGAAAAAATGTATAGCATTCCATTAGGCGGACTGGTTCTGGCGACCAATTTATGAGAGGCGGTGTAATTAAAATTTTGATTTTAACAAAATAAATAAATATTATAAAGCGAAATGAAGGACACAATTCACAATTAAACAGTTAAAACCACAACTCAGAAAGGGCTCAAGCAATCTAGACAAATCAAATCTTATAAGCCATTTAAAAGTACAGTTACCTGCTAAGAAAGAAACATCCAATAGCTTATTGCCGTGTGATGATATCGTATCAGCACATTAGATTTTGATTGAAACGTTACAAAAACTTTTAAATATTGCTAAATACAATATTTGGGCTGTCGCAGCATTATCTTAGCTCTTAAAACAAGTGGAGAAGCTAGAGTCGGGTGTCCCGACTTTGAAATACTCTGTACACAAGTGTAGAATAATTATGCGAGTTTGTGTGTGTCTGTGTGTGCTCGTGTGCCTGTGCAAAGCAGCAAATCCGCCTATCATTATTAACCTTGGCATACAGACTCATAATCACAAACTGGAAATATCTGCAAAATTTCAGTTCGAAATTCCCAGAATAACGGGAATTGCGAAAAATCGCTAATTGCGGGAGGGCGGGAAATCCCAAAATACACATTTTCTGCGTCCCCATCTGGGACTAAAATTTGGTGTCTGTAGCTCCTATAGTCTCTGAGATCCAGGTGTTCATACGGACAGACAGACATACATAGATCGATTCGTCTTGTCATGCTGATTAAGAATATACACCATACAATTCTGTATTTACACGGTAAATTGGTTCCTTAAAAAGTCGTTAAGAAAAACCGTGTAAAAAATATATTGATCAAATGCAAAATGAATCGTGATAAATGGAACAAAGTAGTATAACCATGTATAATCCGTGTTAAAACAAAACAATGTAAAAAAAGACCGTGTAAAAACAGAATTAGGTGTATACTTTGGGGGGGTCTGCCACGCCTCCTTCTTCTCTTTATTTTCCAGCTCGCGCAAACCTAATATACTCTTGTACATTTCATGTATAGAATTTAAAAAATACAACAAGCAATTTATGCTTAGCCCACTGTTCTGTATGTTTGTAAGAATATAAAGAACAATGGAAGAAGAGTGAAGAAGAAGAGTGAAGAAGAAGAGTATCCGTACAAAAGCTGGCCAGCACGAAACTTTAAATTGATACATCGACAACATAGAGTATTTCTTCTATAGAGTACTCCTACAGCCCAGAACTTTTTCCGTTTGTACCGAAGCTAAGCTAAATGTTTATTTATTGATCTGATCTTGAAATGGGTTTATTTTGGTAATTAATTGTACTGTCTAAGCAGAAGATTTGTATTGTGATTCGCACTATTAGCAAATCAGATCCGATCTGGTTTTACAATATTGAATTTCATTTGTAGAAATTGGGGGAAAAAAATGGGCAAAAGAATTTCTTTATAAGTATGTGTTGGTCAGTTATTGGAAAGGATTGTGCATTAAATTGGCACATTTTTTAGGAAATCAATCTGTTGGTCGTCTCAATTTTTGGTCTCTAACACTTAAGTTTTGGAAGTAAAATGTAGTCAAATTTGTAGAAATTGAAAAAATTTAATTCTGGCGTCACATCTTGTTTTCTTTGCATGAGGGCCTTAATCTTAGGGCTCATGAGTAACGAGCTACTTATGAATTGGAAAACTATTTTATAAATCAGAAAACATATGTACATCCATCTGTGTATATTTGTACATACTATATTTTTTTTAAAAACATATGTACATATGTATGTATATTGTGGCCACTTACCGCCTCGATTTCCTGCTCGAAACGCACGGGTCGCAGCCGGCACAGCACTACAATGAGATAAATGAAGTTGACGCCTATGCCTAGACCCGACCAGAGCACAACATCGGGTGTGCACTCGATGAGGTATCCATACATGCCCATCATGATGCAACCGATAAGGAGCATGGCTCGCATCCAGAGCGATCCGAGGGGTCCGTGGGGTGCCAGAAAGGCGAGGAAAAGAAAGGCCCAGCCAAGTTGAAAGTACAGATGATGGGGTTGCTGCCACATCAGGCACTGTTCGATAGACCAATCGCCAGGATTGATGGAGCGCAGGGTGCCGTTGTTGTCCCACGGAATGGTGCCGCTGGCCGCACTTGTGCCCGCCGTTGTCTGTGCAATAAGTGTGCCCGCCGCGGCGCCTGCTCCGCCGCCTCCAAGACCTGCTCCGGCGCCCGCGCCAATGCCCATGCTGGCGCTGCTGCCGGCGCTATTTATGAGTGCACCAACACCGACGCCGGCCGCACTGCCCGCAGTACTGGGCATGGCGTCTTAAATTGGAACGGTCCCGCTCCTCGCCTCTTCTAGACGCCGCCTCCTGCGCCAGGGAGATTTTGTGCCCACTTGGAGTCTCCGAATTGTTTGTGCGTCACGCCACAACGTCACACTTTGATTTATTGTGCTCTTGTTTCTCTTGTTTTTCTCACTCCCACTCTGTCTCTCTCTCTTTCTCTCTCTCGCCTAGCTCTGTCGCGGCTTGTCGCTTATTTTCTTATTTGGAAACTGGGCTTTGTATTGGGATCCGTCTTCAGCTCGGGATTCAGGCTTAAACAACTCGATATTCGTTGCGTTCGTTGTTTGGTTGTCGATTGCTCGTTGTCTTGGCTTGCGACTCACATTGTTGCATGATTCTCACGACGCGCTGCAAACACAACAGTAGAAGAAAATGAAAATCAACAACAAATGGGGGTTAATCAAAAATTTATGAAAGCAATTAAAATTGTTAATCAATAACGTTGGCGTAAAGCGTGCATACGGGCTACTTGATTGTTGCTGTCGCGTAGGAAGCGCACACTGTGGGCCCCGGACTAGAGATGAGCGCGTCCCGGTAACAGACATTCCCACAGATTGTGCTTTCCATGAATAACCCTTTCGTATGCGTGTCATCACTATTCTTAGAGCAAATGTAACTGTTTCTCTTCAATACCTTTTTTAATTACTTAATAGATAACAAATACCCCTTCTCCCACCATCTCCAGAAGCTAATTTGTTGACTAAATGAAAGGAAAGAAATAAATCCATTAAAACAGACAACCTCTTTATTACTTTGAAGAAAGTTTACGCGACCTAACAATATTGTAAAATTTGGACTAGACAAGTATAATTTATTTAAAACTAATTACATTTAAAACTATTTAAAGGTCAAAGAATACATTTTCTGTTCCGTTTTGTTTCTTAACATGTAATTCTTAAAACTGATACAAAACTTTAAAGTATTTAAAATTCGTTTACTTAAGAACCTGTCCTAGGAGACCCTTTTCTAAAAATGAAAGATATGACAGAGTGGGAGAGCAAATTATTTATTTCTTATGACAATACAGATAATAATTGTAAATTGAATTTGAAATAAATAATAAACCAAAAAGTTAGAAACTCTGAATTAATTAATATAATTCAGTTTACTTTAAAATATTTAGAGAAATAAGATACATCCAGAAAGTAAACAGAGAATTTTGGATTCTAGAAAAGTTATTCTAATTGGCCATTTCAATTCGTTTCGTTTGTTGTTTAATTGAATCCGAGTAGATAAGTTAAATTGAACCCCAAAATTAGTTTATTACACCTTCTCTGGGCATTGAAGCTTTTAGAATAAAGAAGAATTCACATTTTCGGAACTTATAATTTAATTTGGTGGGAAGAATTTGTGGATAACGTTTACTTCTTAGTCACAGTAAGAGATTGGAGGAAATAGCGTTCTGCTCGTGATTAAAAATGGAACTTATCTCCAATTGGAGGGTACTAAGATCGGGACTACACTTATCTAGCAATTAGTTATCTTGACTAGACTATTCGATTAAAAACTAATAAGCTAATATATTGTATGAATCAATCGAAAGTCTATGACACATTCCCATCGCTAGGCTGAACTATAACTATGTCTGGCATTGAGATATTCGCTGGCAAGGTTGCAATTTAGTTCAAGTACTACATACTCTGTAATCGTAGCATGAAATTTCTACAATACATGCTGCTTTTAAGATGTACAAGTATGCATTGTGTTTATTTAGTGGCATGAAGATAAACGATTAGGCCGCATTCCCCCATGTGCGGCCAAAAAGGGAACCTTTCAAAAATGCCACAAATTTTACACTACTACTGTACTATATATTTATATATAAATACATACATATGTATATGTTTCTGTATGTATAAGCAGAAAGAAGTCTAAACGCAAAACGCCTCCGGGGTCGAATATAACTTGCCCAAAACGAACCAAATTTCCGCCATGAGTTCGTGTCTCTGTGGCAGGCGAGTGTTTGACCCAAATAATAATAAAGAGCGAAACAATTCAGCACGGAATGGGCCGCATCGCGAGTCGAGTCCACACGTTTGCCTATTGACCCAGGCTCGCTGCGACCATTGGGCCCAGCAGAGGTCAAGAGGTCGGGGGGAATGGAGAAGCGAGGCAGATAAAAGCAAACATTTCCGGTATGTCGCACTGTTTGGCTGAAGTGACGCGTTGGCATGACCATAAAACAAACACGCACACACACAAACACACACTCAAACATACAAATCAACATACATACACGTACGAACAAAAGAAAGGCCCACAACGAATCTGCGCGAGGAGGGGAACGGGGCGAAAGGGAAGCGAGAGTAGCTCGCAGAAAAAAATCAATTTATTACAAAGTTCGTGGTCATTCTGGATATTAAAACGATGCGCCCATTCAAGAAGGGGGTAGCTAGAAGCGGGCAACTCACAGCCATGCCAAGAGCGCGCGTCAAAAAGACTATGACGATTACTCAACACTTACACTTTGCATGCCATGTCAAGCCATCCATGATACAGGCAAGTTTCCCTAAAACGGCACACTACCAATGTTTATAAAGAACGTTACGACAACTAAGAAATATTTATTTTAATGGAAAATTTCCTTGAAGACGAACTGCTGCAAAAACAATTGAAGTGAACAATTTAACGATATAATGTACTGACATAGATTTTTGTTTAAAAACATCACCTTCAGTTATATACTAAGACTAAAAGATAAAGTCCTTACTGATTTCCTATCTAAATTCAGGATAATAGTATTGTTAAGCTCTTAGGAAGATGATGATTAAAGATAACCTAGTTATCAGTAATTTGTTATTTTAATTCGGTACTATAATTACTAAAAGATAACCAAAATCATTATTGATTTGCTAACAAAATATGGCATTGCATTTTCGTTTAACTACCAAGAAGTATAAATACTTTATTTTAAAAAATATTTCCCATTTTCGTGGTTTTGGGGAGTCATCTAAATTCGAAGTATATTAGCCATCATATCTCATCTTCCATAGATATTTTCCATTTCACAAAGAGGTAGAGCAGAGTTGGACTAATTTTGGACTTAACTTTGAGCATTTATTTCTTGTAGCCGTTTTAAGTACTAGACTAAAAACCAAACCAATGAGAAGACCAGCTGTATATGTAATTGTGTCTAAGCTTTTTGTTTTTTTTTTGCTTAAGTGAAGCCTGTGAATGGCATTAGATAAAATTGTTTTAATCTAGCCTGACCTCTTTCGCCAAATATTTGTCATTAATTAGCAAACAGTCTTCAGCCGCAAATCTGCCTGCTTTTAATTGTGGCACCTTTTATAAAGCAGACTTCCGCTGACCATTCCGTGTGGTTCAGTAATTAGAAAATCAATTAACGAGAACGCTTCCTTGTCGGAACAGATGTGAGCCAAAAGAAGAAAATTTGTAAAATCACCCAACTATTCAGTTGGACATGCTGTGTTGAGTGTCTGGCCCTTTCTTTATTAAAGTTGTGTTGTTCTGGCACGTACTCGTACATAGACGGCACATGTTTGGCTGTGTAAGTATTTGGTACAACTTCCTAGATCTACAATTACAAGTAGTTGAGTAGCATATGGCCAAACAAAGTTGTGGATTTCTTGAGTAGAAATGATTAGCAGAACGAGACGAATCGGGGAGAGTTCAATTTTTCGTTAATTAAAGCCTGATTTCAGATTTGGTTGCAAAATATTTGATTGCAATATTTCCAGACAGGCTATACTTGTCAAAGAATCAAACTTCTAGAGATACCTTTAAAAAGCGAACTGAGTGAGAGTTTTTCTTTATAATAAAAAAAAGGCGATAAAAACTTCCGTTCAGAATAATGACAATAATAATCGTTACCTAAAAATACTAGAAAGTGCTGGCTGAGAAATTAGCATCTACTATCCAAAGAGAATACCGCACCATTTTGAACTTATTGAAAACATACAATGCATCGATATTTATTTGGTTCACAAAACCAAAATTAAAGCTGACGCTGGTTATATATTTTAATCAAGTTTCCAAAACCCCAGTAAGCTATCGAGCTAAATGTTTGCAAACCTATCGGATCTGATTAGTATTAGATAGACTTCGTAAAGAAAACTACACGGTTTACCCAGCACTTTTAACAATTTTACTCAGATCCAATATCATAGGATATGTTGGTGATACTGACTATATTATCAAAGTAAAAACAACGATATGGGAAACACTTTTCGTAACAGACAGTGTATGTTAATAGTTTATAAAAAGAGCTTTGGTAGAAGTTTCATTCGGAATATGATAGGATATTTTTTATAGAGAAATTTTACTGTATTGCTGTTTTTACGAGTATTGTTGTTGTTGTTGTTGCTCTAAGCATTGGCGTTGTTGTAATCGCGTTACATAAATTAGCATTTGTGAGCTTTTATTGCTCATGCCATGGTTGTTGCTTCTGCTATTGTTGTTGTCGATTGAGCCTACCAACAACAACGAATGGCTTAAATAAGGATGGCAAAATATGTAGACGCTGACGTTAAAAGCGCTGATGATAATAATGACGATGACGATGACGAGGGCGAACAGCATTATCGACATCAACTTGGTCTCTTTGTTGGGGGTGTGCAGCAAAGTAAATACAAATACACACACATACACACAAACACCTACACATAATGCACACATACATATACATTGTCGGTTTGAACTCTTGGCTCAGTATTTTAAACCCGAAATGGTTAGAGAAGATGAAGTCATCGTTTCTTTTTTTTTTGCCTTGAAAATGTGTTGGTGAGAGCTCGTTCGTGTGCATACATATATGCCTGTGTGTGTGTATGTGTGTGTGTTGGCGTCGGTGTGTGGCCAAGTGGAAGCGTTCGAACTTAAAACAAGAAAGGAATGCTAAAGTCGAGCAGGCTCAACTCTTAAATACCCTGTACCACCCCGCAAAAAAGTAATTAAATTAATTAATTAATTTAATTAAATTAATTAACTAAATTAATTTAATTAATTAACTAAATATTAACTAATTAAATATAAAATATTCCATGCATGCATACATACATTTACAATTACATCAGAATCGTGTCTATGCGTGTTTGTGTACTTGTACATATGTATGTATGTGTGCATTGAGCCTGGTTATATGGCTATAACTTTCTTTCCGATCATTCTATCATAATGAGACTTGGTATACGGTTATATAATTACTAACCTAATGTGACTACCAAATTTAAGTTCAAAATTCCAGGAATAACGGGAGCTATAGAAAATCGTTAATAGGGGGGGAGTGGGGGGGTGGATCAGAAAAAATGAACAAACTCGTCCTTTCTCGGTCTCAGGAGAATCTGTATACCAAGTTTGGTTATTCTAGCTCTTATACTTTCGGAGATCCTTGCGTTCATACAGACAGACAGACGGACAGACGGACAGACGGACAGACGGACATGGCTATATCGACTCGGCTTGTCATGCTGATCAAGAATATATATACTTTGTGGGGTCTACCAAGCCTCCTTCTGTGTGTTCCATGTGCACTCGCACTAAACTAATATACCCTTGTACCCTTTGGGTACAGGGTATAAAAATAATACATAAATAAATACAACCTGGCAAAGACAATTTTGAAGCAACCACGCACCGTCATACGTTTGTTTGCATGTTTTTAATGAGGGCTACTAAAAACAAACAACAAAAACCACAAAAAATATACACAAAACAACAACAACAACAGCATTTTAAGTCAAAACGCCCATAAGTAGTAAATAAGCACAACAACAGCAACAACAATCAAACACCACTTGAGGTTGCATTCAATTGTTTCGTGTGTCAGTCCGTTGCACAGTGACGCAAATGCATACGACATGATATAGAAGATAAACATCTTTTAAAATAAGCCGATGATCACTTTAATTCCGATTTATAGATTATCAATTACAATTGTTAAACTCGGTACCCAAAAGGTAAAACCAATGTATACTCGTCTTTTATTGCTTTAGTTCAAAAACAGTAATAATTTAAAATGTCAGTACAAATATAAGAAAGCTATAATTTATTTATTTCAATTAATTACGTTCCTAATTAGAAATAGTATAGACATGGACGAGTTCCGTTAAAATCAATTGTTTTAAATTAATTTTACACATCATTTAACAACAAAACATTCAAATTATTTGACCTACTTTCATTTTTACAGATCCTTTGTTTATTCGATTTCGAACAAAAAAGTGTTTTTTTTTATTGGGATTCACAGTCTTATCTACGCGAAACTCGTGCATACTGATAGATTCCTCTTATCTTGCAGCTGTAATTGGCGGATACCCTCACACAGTATATACATATTTTCTTTGGCTTCTATCTATACATGAAAGCTGACATTGTTGATAGGAACAGAGCCTATATTATAGAAGCTTACAGTGCATAGGCAGAATTATTTTTAGATTAAATGATTATTTATTTATAATTTGTAGTGTTTGGTTATTATCAAATGCACTAGAAATAATATTTTAATCTGATAGCACCCATTAATTATGGCATTAGTTTGCATTAACTTGATTACTTTTTGCTTTCGCTCTTTATGAAATATTTCAAGTGTACGAACGTAATAAGCAAAATATTACAAAGATTGATTATCGCACCAATCGCTCCTATGAATGTTTATTCATTCATTTGGTGTTTACCAAATTTAATAAAGATATCAAATTGAAATATTAGTACACCCACCGATCGGTTCTATGGTAGCTATATAAATATAATAAGATTATACACGTACATGGTATGTAATAAACTTCCTCTACGTATGGATAATACAAGTCTACATACCAATCTTATTGCCCTTGGCTTGTTATCGCTCAACAGCTCTGAGAGTTAGACTTAGACTTTCTAGTATTTCTAAAATCCATCAAAGGAACAAAATGTATGCATGAAATTGGTTAATTGGTTAAAAAAATACGCATAAATTTATTATTGGATTTCTTAGTGTTATTTAAACCTAAACAACGCATATATCACTATCCCTAACAAATGAAAACAATATAACCACAAATATTGACGCACACTCTAAACCACTTTTTGAATCTCGAAATAAATCATTTATGCGTCACTGTGTGCCTACATTCGATTATGTATATTGCTGTTGTTGTAGTCGTGTGCTTTCTTGTCTCTTTCAATTGGTTTTCGTTACTACAAATTATGGACCGTCTTTCTAAATTGTATTTGCTGGTTGAGTTGGCGGCGTGCTCGTTGAAATCTAATTAGAAAATTGTGCTGCTTCGGCTGTTACTTTTATGGGCAGCAACAACATGACAGTCATCGAACAGAAAGGAAAAGAAGCGAAACGAAACGAAAAGAAGTAAAACAGCTGACCAGCGCATACAAACCTACATACAAATGTATACACATCAGCAATTCCAGGCAGACAACAGCTGCAACAACAAATCCAATATACATATGTATGTACATACCTACAACAACAAGAGGCATGCACCGCAAGCGTTTAATTACACACAAACATGGATTTGGAAAGCCGGTGTCAGCCAAATAGCCGAGCACCTGTTTTACATGCGTTTATATTATTATTATTGTCAGTACTGTTTTTTTTATACATTTTTTATTATCAGTATTATTTTTATGATATTATTATTTATACTATTGTGGACGCGAATGTACGCTCCAGGCATCAGACGTTAAAAAGTGAAACGATGGCGGTGTTTGCAATTTCCGTTTCCCACGAGTAAACAAAAGATATAATTATAGTTATAGCGCAGCAACAACAAAGTTGTCTGTTATGGCAAAAAAAAAAACAAAAAAAAAAAAACAACAGCACCTACAATGTCGTTCAAAAATATGAATGTATGTAGCTGTCTTGAAGCGAAAGCAAAACTGCAACAGCTTCAATAAAAATAAAAACGAACGATCAACTTTAACAACTCCACCAAAGCCAGTATGCGATTTATACCCGCATATACATATTCATACTCGTATAAATGTATTTATACAAGTAGTGTATACGCAGCACTATATAATATGCAAATCGGCATATTATATAGTCCCTTCGCACAGTAAGTCTGCGATTCACTGGACAGTGTGTGGTAAACAAATGATAAGCTGAGGGCTCTTCTGTCTTTGATTTTCCCTTATCTGGTGTGCACATATGTATGTATGTATGTATGTACATATGTACATATATAAGTTGCCTTTAGCTAATGAAAGAGCGCGATATCGCTCATAAGACAAAGCAATCTTTCATAGCATACGAGTATTTACTACACACACGACTGTACACCATACAGCATCTCTTCCTAAAGATATGGGAAATTTCTATGCACATACATATGTACATAGAACCTGCCAGCAGCTTTATGTGATTCAATTATGCAAATGGAAATGTTTTAGGTACACATAATAAAATACAGTTTAGGGCTGAAATATTGGAAGATTTCTAATTTATGCATGCTTGACAAAAATGACTCCATGGTTTATGAAATTTCAGATGATTATTGTAATTTTCGTGCCAGATTCTAGAATATTTGCAAGCAAGTTTATAGAAATATGTACATACATACATATGTCAGATTTCAAAAGATATTAAGAAACAGGTAAATTAAAATATATTTGAGGAGGCTCCTCCATGTTTATGAGACATTTAAAGACAGCCCAACAGATTTAGGACAAAGAGGCTTTCTGTTATCAGTTTTAATTTTAATTATTTAGTATGTGGTCGTTCTCTGTTTGTAAAATATTTAAAATACATTGATTTCAAACTTATGCATTTTATTTACTTTGCCAATTAAATCAATAATTCGTGATACTATAATGGTCGAATAAACGTGTAGAAATGTGTCGGACTTCTAAAATATGATATTCCATATCTAGAGAATGCCCTTACTATGTACCTATTTATGTAGTTTGAGAAATACTTAAGCAATAATCAAGTATACTTAGATATCGTGCTATACACATATGTATGCATATTCTTAACTCTTGATTGCAATTAACATACAGTTTCTCGAAACATTTGTACAACTCTAAATATCCTATTCTTTCTTTATTCATTACAAAATGATGCTTTTATGGAAAGTTACTAAAAAAAAATAGCCTCATTAAATATATTGAAATTCTTAAGCTATACATTTATCAACTTTTGAACTACTGCAAGAGTTTCGATGGATTAGTTTCTACTTAATTGCAACTACAAGTATTTCAAACTTAATATACGTTTGCAATTCTTAAAGCACTGTGTTCTAGGTCCATTATTTCTCACACACACACACGCCTACGCTCGATTTCGTGTGACCCCAGCTAAGCAAAATAGTGCAATTGGCTACTCCTATAGGTAAATTATATATAAATACAAACACCTACTCGACAGCTTTGGTCGCAGTTTGTTGAGAGCTATTAGGCGCACACATATGCAAACAAACATGCACACACATAGACGCATTTACTCATGCAACAATAAAATTGTAAGACCATCAATTGCCGCACAACAACAATAATAATACCAACAACAACAGCAACAACAATAAATGCACTTTGGGCGCCTTCCTATGGCGGCACTTGTTGTTGTTGTTGCTGCTGTTGTTGTCGTAATTGGTTGTGCGGTGTTGTTGTTGCCGCCACCGTCGCCTGCTTCTTTTTATGGCGCATATTATTACACAGCACTTTTCTATTTGCGTGTGTGCGTTTGTATGCAACTGCAGGCGCCTCTACCACCACCCGCTTGGCCAAGTCGTAGACGGCACGCATTCGTTGCATACAGACCCACACACACACACACACAAGCTTACATTCATTGTTACATAGCACGCGCGTTGATGTTCGATTTTTCACCATTCTTGAAACTTGTATAGCATGTGAATATGTTTGCCAAGTATATAAATATATACATATATGCACACATAGTATATATACAAACATTCATATGTACGAGTATATACATATATATTTACATATGTGTGTGTATTGTAATCAATTTGATTTTGGCCATGCACTGCGGCTTTATTTTACCATAAATCACAAACAAGCACACACAGAAGTTTGGAGCTTACCCCAACTAACAAACGAGGCTGTTGTTGTTATTTTTGCTGCTGCTGTTGGTGCTGCTGCCACTGCTGTTGCAACTCAAATTGTAGGCGGTGTCTCTACGCTGGATAGAATTCAACATAATTGTGCATTTTGTAATTTAATTTTTTTTCCTTTTTTATTTATGGCGGCGCGGCACAACATCTTCATAGAAAACTATTAATTTCATGCTCTTCTTGATCACACACACAACACACGCGTAGGAGAAAAAAAAAACAACAACAACAATGCATATAAAAAGCCGAGCAACTGCCGCTCTACTGTTGGCTTTTGGCGCTGCCACCGAACTGACTCTAGACTATGTGATTGTTATGTACATGGAAGCACTCTCCCGCCGACCGCTCTCTAATTCAACGTTTTAACAAGATAGAATTGTCAAAACCAACTTTTTCTTGTTGTTACTTGGGCATGGCCATATCCGCGCGGTATGCTGTGAAACATTTGTGACTAGACATTTTAAATTTAATTTAGACATTTAATAAACGATGTTTCCAAAAACATGCAATAGTCGTTTTTGTTTACCTCTGTGCTATCATGCTATCGATAACAAGTCCGATACAATGCGATATAAAGCAAGCAGCTTGTGTGTGGGTGTTTTTGGCGCCAAAGATTTTTTAGTAGACACACTGTAAAGTCCTTTAAATTACACTTTAGCTTAATTACAAAATTTAGATATTATCTAGGAAACTGCGGTTATTGAAATGTAAGTGCTGCAATTCGCCGATAACCATGGTCATATGTTTCTTGTTAGGGATGGGTAAACATAATCGCGTTACTGTGTCTGGACAGCTGTATTAATAAATCGCATACTTTTGCATTTGAATAAAACAGTCGGCGGGAGTAATTAAATCTGCACGTCTACATTTTGAGTTCGAGTAATTTATATAGATGCTTAAATTGACCGTTATTGCATGATTTATAAAACACCTTGCTATAAACAAAATTCTTTGTAATAGGTAAGTGATGCCCATCCCTATCTAACACCGGTGTTTTCTGCCACTATTATCGGCGTGCAATTTGGCGCTTAGTTTTGTTTATGCAGATGCAGTGTACTCAAAAGCGCGCTGTTTAATAGGTTAACATTTAGTGTGCACTCGACATGGCCAGCTTGATCAACGTGAGAGAGGCTCCATCGCTCTCAAAAGCGTCAGAACTGCCGTTCTGTCCTGTGATCGATCTTCAGAACGAACTACTTAACACATCGGCACTGCGCTTTGGCACTGAAAGCTACATGCCACAAAATTTCCTTCTACCAGTCCATGAAACCGTATTGAAGCGAATTACTCGCACCTTCTTTGAGAACGGCTTTTGGGACGCACTGGCCGAGGCACGCAACGAATCGACACGCCAAGAAGCGCCCTGGATAGGCAAGACCTTTAATTATGTTGCTGAGCTATTGGGCATATACTCAAAACTCAAGCTGCGGCTATTTCCGCACACGCAGGCGTTAAGTGATCAGCGCATAGCGCAATATGTAGAAACGAGGTAATGCCCACTACATAGCCATTAGTCCTTGCTACTACTGCGTTATTTTTTCAGAGATTGGTTAGACAGCTGTATACGCTGCATAGCCTGGCATTGCCATGTACTGAAGCTGGCTGTAGCTGGTGGCGATGACGTCGTGCGTATTTACAACAAAAACAGCCATGATGGACCAAGTCTAGTAATCAAGGTGGGCGTACAAACATATAATAAGAAAATTGGCAACTTCAATGTGAAGTACAGCTTTGTGCGATTATTCTAATTAAATTATCACCTTAAGTTATTATTTATGTCTATATCATTTTTGCTGTTTCCATTTCAGAGGTCAATCCATGCACAAATCACCTGTATGTCTTGGCGTCCTTTATGCGCTTCCGAACTTGTTATAGGCTGTCGGGCCGGCTTATGCTTTTGGATTATCGACAGCAACTTTCACTTGACGCGTCCTTCAACGCCGAATTTGACACTGCAACAGTGTGTAGCAAATAATACATATAATAAGTTTCATTAATATTGATTTGTATTGCAGTCCCTCGAAGTTGCCAATCACATCGATGCAATGGAACAAAAATGGCTCACTGCTGGCCACTGCATCCATCGGTGATAGTTCCATACTTATCTGGCAACCAGAAATGGGCATAGTTCAGCCGTTAAAACATCTGGGACCGCCCGGTTCCCTGCTCAAATGGTCGCCATCCAACGAATATCTCTTTGCTGGCACCGTAGGTCGCATATTTTGGGTTTGGCATTGCGATCCAACCTGGACCTCCGAACGCTGGAAGTGCAATGGCGGGACAGTGCAGACTGCCACCTGGTCACCTTGTGGCCGATTTCTGCTCTTCGTTACCACAGCCGAGCCCATTTTGTATAGTCTTCAGTTTATACAGCAGCACTTGCATCAATGTAAGTCTTAATGAGATTATATTTATGGGCAGTTCTTTCATAGTGCCAGCCGCTCAAGATTTTAGGCAACACGCATCAAGCTGCCCGCACATTAAAGCAAACATATGGCAAGCACCAGGTAGACGGCCTTTTAAGCATATGGACCGCCTGTATAATGCTGCCTACAAATTCTTCGAAATAACTGTTCTGCCATAAACTTATCCTCCAATTTTATTAATAGGTGATAACGAGGTGATGGCCATTGCCGATCTCAGTGCCTGCCCCTTGAACGGCAACAATCAGACGCTTATCGGCGGCAATGCTCAGCAATTGGTTTGGGATCCACACGGCCAATTTCTGGTTGTTACCTTTAAGGCTACCAACTACATTGCCGTTTTTCGGACGGCCATCAACAAGTTTGACATGCACCTTTCGACTGCCTTTTATCTGGCCGGGGAGACGCAGACTGAACATCCCAGCTATGTCTGCTTTAAGCCGCTCCATAAGGATAACGATCGCTCCATGCTCACTATTGCCTGGTCATCGGGTCGCATACAGTACTATGCTTTCAATTAAGTTAATTCATTAATTATTGTTATTCAAAATGATTAATTTTGGCCGAAACTATAAATTACAGTTTGTATCTCCGTGTAATATTGAGGATCCAAAGTTGTTTGTAAATATACATTTTTCACGTCATCAAATAAATCTTGTTTTTTTATATTCATTTACTTCTGGTAACAAATCATATTTTGTCAACAAATCCACAATGTCGGCTAAGATAAAATAATTAGGTATCCAATACTAGCAAGCAACGAATGCGTGGAAGTTAACGAGCTAAGGGGAGCTAACTAATGCTAAATGGTTTATTGGTAAATTGGTTTATGTTAAAAAACATATTTTATTAAATTTGAACCAGTTTTATTAATGGAATTGATTTAGCGCTGCTATTCGCTCATACATACGTAAACATATATGGCTGTCTCTTTCTCTTTGGCGCTCTGCTGATTAATAGAAATACATAAATACTTGTAAATACAATATAATAACGTGTAATAGACTATGCTACAAATATATAGGTATAGAAATATATAGTTAAATATATATAATGTATAAACGTTGTATAACAAAACAAAAAGGGGGCAAAACATCAACATACTTGTATTAATTGAAAAATGTACGCCAGGCGCGTAGGCGCCGCTCTTAGGCAGCATTAAGATCACACTTTGGGGAGAAATACTAATCATTTTTATACACAGATACACAATCATTTAAAAAATACACAAAAACACGCAGTCCATTGGATGCGCATAGCCATAAAAGTAACATTAAATTTTGGGTCCCTTGAAACTCTTTATTAATCGTCATCTTGCTATTTGCTTTCGTTCCAGTTGCCGCTGTTCATTCGTTCGTTTCATCCTAAATGTCACCAAAGAAATATCCCAGGGCTGTAGCTGCTCTAACCCGGACCGTATTACTCTCATCCTTGAGCAGCATGGCAATCTTGCTGCCCACCGATTCCGTTTGCGTGTTGCGTTCGCTAAGGAAATTATGTAAGATGCCTGTTGAATAGAAAGAAAATTCCAATTAAAAGACATTCAGTTAAAATATGATGCCTTTAAAAACAATCGGAACTTTCCGAACTTCCAACTACAAGTTTTCTATATTTATTTTAATTTAGAGCTTTTTGTTTAATTCCTAGTGGCTTTTGATTATTGATTATGAATTCCTGGCAGGGGCTTTGAGAATATGGTTCGTATGTTTTAACTTTTTAGGCTTCTCAGATTGCCTTTTCTACAGAACAAAATGTTAGTAACTGGTTCCCGTTCAGCTCTATCTAATAATGCTATAACTAATTGTTCATCATGAACAATCGATTGTCGCTTCTAAATTTCAGTTATGCATTTTTAACTAAGCCATGTAAGTCCGTAATGGCAGAACCATCGATTTTCTTGTATAATGATGCACATCTGCACTAATTACCTATGACAATGGCCGAGCTGCCACGCACTTCTGGCCACTGACTGCGGAGCTTAGGTATGCAGGATTCTATGAAGTCCTGGATGTGTTCAGTTAACTCCATAGCCTGTGGGAAAACAATAGTGTGAATAGTGAATTAGTTTCTGCCAGCATGGACTATTAATATACTTACAATAACTTTAACAAAGTCTACAATAAACACACTATAGTTAAGCTGTCCGTGATCGAGTAAATGGCGCTGGGCCATCTCGTTGACTTTGGGCGCGTGAAGGAGTTTACAGACACGACGGAGAGTGCCCTTACAGGCCTATAATTTGATGCAAGTAAATGGAAATATGAGACATAACTGTGCTATTGAGATAGACATTTTGGAGACTTACTCTTGTGATGGCCGACTCGCTTTCACTGAGATGCAGTATGAGTGGAAATAGATTGGCAAAGAGCTGCTCCTTCAATGCCTCAATCGATGAGGTGGGTGAGCTGCTGCCCTCGTTGAGTGACATCTTGGACTCGCAGAGATCCCCAAAAAGAATGATTGCCGCCTCGCGTATTTCCAATGAGTAGCTTCCAAAGAAGGGCCTGATGCGTATGGCCAATGAGACGTGGAAAGACTCGACACGATCACTGGGCAGTGCCTGCAGAATGCGCGACAGACCCCGCATGCTCTCCAAGGGTATATTGATCAGGCAATCACTGACTGTATCATCGATGCCCTTCAGCAGCGCTGTAATGGCAGTCTCCGAATACTTAAGCACATCGTGCTCACTCAGATGCCCCACATAGCCCATGCCTTGAAGACTGAGACCGCGCACCACGGCATTCGGATCGCTTTGGGCCGAGCTTAGATGCAACATAATAGTAGTGGCGAGTTCACCGCACGGTTTAAGTGGCACAATGCGAGAATATAGACCAACGGCAGCCACACGCTGTCCATCGTAGGGCGAGGACACATATTTGCTGAGGGCATGCACCACTTGCTTCATTTGCGGCGAACTGATCTGCAATTGATTCGTCAATCCAATGGCCATCGGAGTCAATAGCTCGATGTAGTTGTGCCAGTCGACGCTGTTCGCCAGTTGGGTGTTTACGGTGAGCACTGTGGCGATTTGCTCCATTTCGAGATTGTTGAGGAATGCTTGGAATGTTTCCAATACTATTTGGCAGGGATTCAGCTTAACGGTGTCCTTGTTAGGCACAAAGCCGAACTTTGACTTGCTGCCATTGACGAGTGTACTGGAGGAGTTCAATGAAACAGAGCCAGCTACCGCCGATGTACCGCCCGGTGACAAACTACGCGCTCCTGTATACATGGGCGGTCCTAGATTGGTGTAGGTGGCCAACGAGGTGAGCAACATGGTAAATAGCTCTGCAAATTTGCGGTCCAGCTCCTGTAAAAAGTTAATTCGAATGATTGAAATGTGTTTTTATGAAATTGAAAAATGTATAAAGTAATAAAGATTTATATGGTTTGTAATAAACTTGGTGTGCATATGGATAAGACAAGTCTAAATGCCAAGATTGGTGTCCCTATATGTTATGGTTCGAAAGATCTCGATGTTCATACAGACGGACAGACCGACTCCATCATTCAAGTACGTCTTATACTAGCTATAGTTTGCATATTACACTACATTCAATTTTATGGATTTTGTGGGGATTTTCAGGCGTTCCAACTCACCACGCGTATGTCCTTGCAAGGCAGCATCTCATGCAGTGCGCAGAAAATGGCAAATGGCTGAACGCTGGCCACTTTCGGCCGCTCGGCAGCTCCATCCTGAGGCTCATAGATACACGATGAGTTGAGTATTTGGAGAAAGTTTTCCAATATAACCCCAGTTAATTCAGTATCGGTGCAGACCAGATGCCAGTACTCGACCATATGCTCATCGTAGGGCAATGGTTGGCACAACATCTCGGCACAGACTAGCTTGGGATGGTGCTTGGTAAGTGCCACCAGGGCCTTCAGAACGCCTGACTTGGCGCGATTAACATCGCATAGTTGTAGAGCCAATAGACTGTCCTTGACCAGATCGGGTATTGCGTGGAATAGTTCGGAACCCTTTTGCTGTATGAAGAACTTGAGGACCACACTAGCGCCGATGGTGGAGCTCTGCTCCGGATCGCGTAGAGAATGTAGCAGTGTCTTGCTGTGAAGAGTAAAAGTAAGACGATTATTAATTGAAATACTCCATAGAGGTAATGGCTTTACCAGAACTGCAGATACTGGAAGCTTGAAATACGTTGCGCAATAACCTTGGCTATATCTCCGGCTAGATTGTATATTTGCTTGGGCACATCTGTGATGATTTGCTCCTTGATAGACTCTATTTCCTTCACCCAGTCAGCGCTACTGTCGGCAATGGTCAACGTTTCGTAGATGCATGAGATCTCCAGGGTCTTTTGTAATATATCAACAGACACCTGGCGAACGGTGCCATTCGAATCTATGCAGCGGGGCACAATCTTGCCCAGCATTTGGCCAGTCTGGTTAAATTTCGAGGGTGCTTCGCAGCCAATCTTCATGGATTTAATGTAAACGTCTAGGGTATTGTTGAAGACATGACTGGCGCAGATGCGCACCTCCGAGTTCTTATCACGTGTCCAACACTCCAATATTGAAATTATGAGATCCAGTGTCGATGGCGATGGATCCATTTCCACAATGACGCGCACCAATGCATTCAATTCTGGTAAAGATTCGTTTAAGTGCTTGGCCAAGAAGCTGTTACGTTCATCCTCCTCCTGCGAGTCGAATTTCATCTTCAGCTTTTGAGCGCAAGTAAAAAAGTTCTTGCAGGCAATCTCAAAAATGACGCCCCCGTCCACACTCTCGGTGGTATCGTCGCCACCGATCCGTATGAAATCGGTGCCCAGCTTCAGAATTGTGGGCAACAACGGCAAATCATCGAACGGCGCTTCGATTGGTATACTAAATACCGTTTCCATAATTTGCTTGCGATACTTAAGCGGGGAGGTGAGCTCCTCCTTGGTAACTATAATCTGATTGCATATGCTGAGTAGTGTCTTCAGTATGGCCGACATAATGGTCTGATCCTTGTTGCCAGTCAGTTGCATTATCAGAAAGTTAAGTATGGTATCGTCCAAATTCTGAAGAGATTGCAAAGGATCTGCTTCATCCATGATGCGCCCAAATGCCTTCACCACCAGCAAATTTGTCTTGTAATTCTCCAGCTCCTTGTGAGTGTCCTTGATGAAATGTAAATTGCTGAAGAAGCCCGTCGAATGCTTCCGCCCGCCAATGTGCGCCAATTCAGCCAATTTCTTAATCAGGTGTGGCAAATGCATCCGCGAAATATAGCCCAAGGATAGAGCACAGTGCTCGATGCGACGCTCATAGTCCGCATGCTTCACATGCTTGTCGAGTTTCTCCTGCTTCGCAGACGTCACAATTAAATCTATTTTCGTATGTATGGTGGGCACATCCGTCACTTGGCAGAGCGTCAATGCCACCGCCTGCAGAAGCATTCCACGCTCGGCACCTAGCTCGGGTATATGCCACTCGGAGTGCGGCAATTGCATCGGATACATATACATTTGATCGGCCAGTTTATTTACCAATCTCTGGGCAAAATGCTCATCGCGTGTATTCAGAAATTCATTCGTTTCGGTTATGAATTCGTGCAATTGTTGCATGTAGGATGATTCCTTGTTGATGTGCAGCAACAGGTCCGATATGCGACGGGACCAGAGCTCCTCCAATGCTGGGTTTATATGCGGATGATAGTATTTCAGGAAGGAGAGTATATTGGAGGATCGTTTGATGCACTGATGATTGCCAAGAAGGGCCAGGCAGCGTGCATAGATGGTCTCTGCACCTGGCACTACTATCTTGCCACGCTTAATTGCCAGCGTTTTGTCCGTTTTATCTTCGGCAACTGCTGCGCCCGCCTCAGTACTGGCGGTTTGTTGCTCCTCCTCGGCGCTTGCAATATCGAACTCAATGTGCGGCGATTTGGCAAACAAACTCGCCATACATTTGGCCAGATTCCCACATATATCCGTGTAGTCCAACAGCACAAAATAGTTGAGTAGCTCCCGCTTTAGCAGCTCATCCAATGTTCCCACCGTGGAGGCGAGCATGAACAGCATATTCTCACAGCTAATTACAAAATTCGCATGTTCCTCGAGCGATCCGTGTTCCTGATTCACCTTTGTGTATTTGCAGCTGTGACGCACAATGAACCATACAAACTCTTTGTCGCGTATCAAGGTCTTCTGGGCCAGGGCCACAATTGTCTTCAGGAGCGTCATCTTCATCTTAATGCTGCGCTCAGCGCCAATCATCTGTTTGAGGCAATCGATGAATGAATGCAGTTTGCTTTCAATATGCGTGGCCGAACTATTGAGCAAGTGGGTCAGTATCAAAAGGGACTTGATGCGATCCCTTTCGCTATTATTGCGCAAATGTATGAGCAGTGTATCCATGATTTTGGTCGCATAGACACTGGTTAGCAGATGAAAGCAACGCAACACCTCATAATGACCCTTAACCGTCTGTGGTTTCTCATAGTCCGGATAGACGCAGACCAAGTCGAAGAGGTGTGTAACCAATGCATCAATCACATTGTCCAACACCTCCGTCTGAAGAGTAATATTCGTCTTGAGCACGGAGGACAAGAATTGCGTGACGGCATTGCGATCAATGGATCGTCGATAGAGTGCCAAAATTTGAGGCACTAAGCGCGGCGCTTGATCCTGAATGCGATCGATTGGCAATAGCGGGTACATGCTCGACAATGCCTGCAGAATCTCCACGCACACCTTTGGCTCGCGGGTGTGCAGCCACTGATTGAAGAGCACATCGTAGGCAACGGATATTTCTGTGGCACAATTCGTCGTAACCTCCGGCTTCACAATGACCGTTTGTTCCGTGGCCTCATTACCGTCTCCATTTCCATTGCCATCCCCCTCGCCTGTTTCACCATTCGACTGTGTCGTTGAGGGTGCACTCGAGTGCTCCAACAGCGCTTCACTGAAACGTCCAATGGCATAGGCATGCGCCTGCTTCACATGATCCTGCTTAATGCCGCCCAAATGCGGCAAACTTCTGGCCAATATGCCCTTGATGTAGGGCACCACACCCGCCACATTTGCCGTGGCCAGGGTGCCCAGACACTGCATGAGCATGAAATGCGGCACAGCATCCTCGCTGGTGTGAGCTTGCAGAGCATCCATGACCAGAGCACAATCACTGCCACGACCAATCGCCACAAGGATATTCAGAGCATGATTCTGTATGAGGGGTACGTGCTCGGCGGAGCGTGTGAGCTCTTCGAGTGCCAAAGCAATTAGCTTTTTGTTGGCTTCTGTGGGTAATTGATTGCTTTCGGTGACCACAAGACGAATGGAGCTGCGAAAAATTAATAGTTCATTTTAAGTAATTATTATAAGAGATATGTTGAGTTAGAAGCTCACTCGAGAAGTATGCCAACGGTTTGTTCGCTTAGTTTGGCATTCTTTTCACGGTAATCAGTCAAAATGTCCGTAGCACGCACGGGATGTGTCTCTAAGATCTTCACAATCGCATTCTGCACGGCCTGACGCACGCCCTCGTCCTTGTCTGTAAGGCCATCGAAGATGTTGTGCAGCACACCTGCAAATAAAATGTTATTTACAATAGACGTAATTTCATGACTTAATATGCAATGCAAGCCTTTATAAATAGGTATGCATATTAGCCTTGACTAGATCATTCAGCATCAATGACTATCTAACTGATAAGATGAATCAAACGGCTTTGTTTTGAAGAAACATCAAAGCTAAAACTTATTTTACAGATTTAAAAAAAATGTTTTAAGAAACCACTTTCTTTTCAGTAGAGTTAAATTTAATACTTATAATATATTTAATAAGTTTTCAAGACCTACGGCTTAGTCGAGTGTAAAATGGAGAACGTAGAGCCCGTGATTTTTTGAGCATAATATGTAGTTCTCCAGCCTACAGGCAGAGGGGAAACATTTTTGCTAAAAAGCACTTGAGCAACTACACCTTTCGTAACAGGCGATTATTAATCTGCAACTCATTTGTGGCTTATGAAACAAGAAACATGTGGTTATCGTATTGGTTCATGGAACGGGTCTAACCACAGACTGTGAATCACAAATGCTATATAGCAAGTGTATTATTTTCTATAAATTTTAGCAATCTTTAAATATAGAATCTTAAATTTTAAAAATGTACACAGATTTCTAAACTATACAAAGATATATTTTAACAAACATATATTATTTTTAAGAGTGTTAAATCGATGCCAAGAATACAGGCCACCGACAACCCACCCTAAATCATAGAGAGCCGCAATTGCCACGCCTACTTTCAGGAGAATTGACAGACAATTGGAAACCATCTGGCGTGTAATTTCTTAAGTGCTTTTGTAAAAAATAATTGCTTTATCGAGGCTAATGCATTGATGCACTTATAGTCTAATTAACTGACTGGTTGGTGCCGTGTGGGGTCGTCAGGACACCCACTCATAATGTTTATACATATGTACCATGTATGTAGGTGAATACATTTTTAAGGAAAGGGAGTAAATCAACAGGTCATGTACAAGTGACCTGGAGCTGGGGAGAGCATGGTGAGCGCCATTTACAAAAGGACCTAAAAATAAACACACACAAAGGCACCACCAACACACACACTCACCCATCTAGGATATGGTTTGGGAGCGAGCGCCTTTGTTAATAAATATGTGTGTGTATGGATTTGTGTATATATAGTACATACATAAATTCAAGGAGCATGTGGGTACAAACAGTCGCTGTTGCTCAATGCGTGGCTATATTTATAGAAGAAGCCAAACAGAGAAACAAAAACGAAGCTGGCAGTTGGCCTAAATATAATATTGTATTCAAGATTTTTCCGCTCTATTGAAACGCTCAACGAAACTGAAATGGACAGTCCCAATAGAGGTACAGTATTTGTCCTTAAAAACAAAAACTGCATAATGGAAAATCAGTTAAAACAGATGTAGTGAACTAGTAAACTAGAATTTAATCAAAAACAAGCATTTTTTTCCCTTCAGATATTAATAAACCAAAAGCGAATTGTATTTTAGAGCGCAGCTTTTCAATAAAAATTCAAATATAATATGACTTTTTGAAATGACGTTTCTCTTAGACGATCTGTACTGTAAGTAAAATGCCTATGATCAATTAATTGTGTATTATCGACTCGGCGCTATATGATGAACCTTTGTATGCATTCTTTATCAGTGTGCAATCTACAAATAAACAAAACGCCCAGACCCAGACTCGGGCTTGAGCTATATGCTATAAAGAGTAAAAAAATAGAAGCAATTCAAAATGCAAACAAAAGAAAATGCGAATGGGTGACGCATGCCTCATCCTTTCCTATACACACATGCATATACCCTTTACTATGATGAAATTCCTCGTTATATTTAGAAAATGCTTAACAACTCTTACATACTTGTATATATTAGAAATGATAAGCCTTTTATTTATAACATTAGTCAGTTGGTCTATTTTAAATATTATATATTTTAAATTTGTGCATTTTACAAGTTAGCTTTGAAATGTAAGCCCTACAATAATTCGTCATAGCAGAAAATTATATTTTGAGTATGTATAGAATTCCAGTCGATTTTAATTGGAGTAACATTATTCATGAATAATGTACAAGTCGACAAATTTGTGTGCAAATATTGGCCTGCTTGATCATGTCTTTAGATAATTATTTCAACTGATTGTTCCTATTGTAACTATACGTGTATATCATTAATATAAAGTGATAATATTCTTTATATCGAATATGCACGGTAAATAGACACATATACCTATAGACGTATGTACATATACATACATATGTAATCATTTGTATGCAAATGTGCGGGCAGGTTTGATTACCTTCCAGAATTGTTGCCTTATCGGCGGGTGCTGTGGCATTCCCGCTGCCAGGGCCAGTCACCGATGTCGCCGTAGCTGAGTGAGCGCCAGCAGTACCACCACGCGCCCTGTCGCCAGCGCCATGATGGTCCATCTTCTTCGTAGAGTTTCGTGTTCTCTTCCACTTCTCCAGTTTGCCACAATTTTGTTCCGGTTTCTGTGCGCTGGTGCGCTTACTAGGAATTTCACAATATTTTTCTAATTGACGTGCGTCACTTGCACCTCGCGCCCTTGCACCCTTGATCGAACTGTTGTTAAGCAACAAGTTTCGGCCACAAATGCTCAACACCAATTGGAAAAATTGTTGTTGTTGCAAGCGGCTTTGACTTGGCTTTTAATATGCATGTAATTTAGGGCTTCTTTTGCTTATTTTTTTTTTTCGTTCTCTGTATTTCGTTAAAGCTCTGCCCCCACACACCAACAGTTGCTACAAATTGACACAGAGGCACAGAATTAGCCACAGACCAGACCCAGACACACAATGAAATGCGAGACCGCGCTACGCAAATGACGTTGTTTTGATAAATAAAGTTGGTCCCAACTGAAGCTTTGAGCCGCCCCACAACTGGACGAAGAGCGAGCGGCAACAACAACGACGACGACGACAGCGACGAAGGCAAATGCGAAGAGCGAAGTTGAGCGCGTACGTATGTAGGTGAGTGTATGTACATTTATATGTGTAAGGCGTTCAAGTGTATCAGGCTGCACGCACGATTGATTTTAAAAACTCAATAACAAAATACCACAATTTGCAATTGCTGCGCATTGCAACGAAAACTGCGCATTCGGAAATTTTGGGTGTTTATAAAAGAGACGTTGCCATTACTTTGGCAATCACTTGGTTGCACTACAATAACAACAGATGTTCATTTTGATAACGATATCGATATAACCGATAACTTCCTGGCAATCGATGAAATGTATGAACACCATTGTGTGTTTTTTTGGAAAGAAGAAGTAGCCATAGCAGCTGTATCAAAACAAGTTGAATAAATTGACAAGAAATTGCATTAAAACGTTTAAGATTTACATAAAAATCGTTAAAAATGACTACAGCAGCACGGCCCACATTTGATCCTGCCCGCGGTGGCTCTGGCCGTGGCGAAAAGGACTTGAGCGCTCTGAGTAAACAATATTCCAGCCGCGATCTGCCAGGCCACACAAAACTGAAATACAGGTAAGTAACAAAATAATCACATCTATGTTAATGTAATGGCATTGTAATGACTTAACAGAGAAACTGGCCAGGGTACCAGTGAGGAGATCCGCAACCGTGACTTCCGCAAGGAGTTAGAAGAGCGTGAGCGCGAGGCACGCTCTGGTGTTAGTTCTGGCAAGGCATTGCCTTCCATTGTGCGCAAGGCCATTGAGGCTAACAGTGCTAGCGGTAGTGGGAGCAGCAAACGCACCAAGCTCGATAGCCAAGTGCAACAGCAACAACAACAGCAAGCCCCCAATCTGGATGCCGATGAGCCCATAGATAATGACAGCTCCGATTCGGACAGTGATTCCGACGATGATGATGCAGCACTCTTGGCCGAGCTACAAAAAATCAAGCAGGAGCGTTTGCAAGAGAACGCACGCCGTGAGGCAGAAAAGAAACAGGAGGACGAACGCATACGCATGGAAAACATTCTGTCTGGTAACCCGCTGATCAACTATGAGCCAGGCACAGCAGCCTCAGCGGCGGGTCGTGGTTCGGGCAATGGCGATCTAAAAATCAAGCGTCGCTGGGACGATGACGTCGTCTTCAAAAACTGCGCACGTACAGCACCAGAGAAAAAGACTCATTTTGTAAACGATGCGCTGCGTTCCGATTTTCACAAGAAGTTCATGGACAAGTACATTAAGTAAAAGACAGACATGATTTCAAATTCATTTGCGCTTCTAGTCAGAAGTAGCAATTTTCTTTGTATTAGTTATATTGTAAACTATTTTTTTGTCGCCGTTTAAACTAATTAATATATACAAAGATTTGGTACAATTGATTGTGAGATTGCAATTTGTAACACACTCTGAGAATTGACCCAATGACTGGCCCCAGCGACCTGTGCGCCGACATCGGTTAGTGTCGGTGCGAAGGGCAGGCAACCTTAACCAAAGTGTGAAACCGCAAAAAAACATCAGTAGCACACAAAAATGCAAAAAGAAGTCGTCGTCTGCGCGCGCACCATTCAAAATGACAAGACCCAGAGTAGGTAGGGCACAGGCGCAGGCACAAAAGCTGCATTGTCGGCGGGCCAGCTACGTGAGCCCACGAATCATCTTGGCTGGATCATCATTATGATGATGATATTGTTACTTTTGTTGTTTCTGTTGCTGTTGGGCCGGCAGGCCAATTGTCGCTGCTGATGAGGCACGAAGCAAAATCAATTTGGCAAAGGAGCAAGCAGAAAGCGCAAAATAACCTGGGCAATTACGCCTTATGCGGCGGTGGCAACAACATCACAACCTGGCACAGTGTCGCAAACTTAAACGAAATTCCAAATCACAAAGACTATTATCTGTATATATACGTATTTTATTTCAAGCAAAAATATGTATTAATACTGGTTATAAATGTAAAGCAAATCAATTCAGATAGTTGACTTCTCATCTTATCGACAGAATGAATTTCAAATTAAGAAAATAATCTTGAAGTATGATAAAGAAACAAACAATTATAGATTTAGTTAAAAATGGATTGTTTTTACTAATATATGTGGGCGCCATAAGGAGTTTAAAAAGTGTATGTATGTATATAGCTAATGAGTATTATAGTAGTATGGTTTTTTTTTCTCTGCATTCAATTAACGAATATACATACATACATACATCCCTTACCAGAATTTAAAAATCGATTTCAAAATATTGCAGATCAAAAACTTAAGCCAGCTCTAAATTTAAAAATAAAGAGAAATGGAAAATTATATAGGCCAGTTGTGCTTTTGCTTTAATTTTGTAAGGCATCTGAGCCACTGTGCCTTTGACTTAAGCCATGCAACTCCATTGCTTGGCAGGCTGCAATGTTGATGCGCATGTGCCAATGCCATGCAAATAAACAGCAACATAAACAACTTGCTTCATATTTCCACGCCTCTTAATGCCCCGCACGCGTTGCCCGCGCTGAACTTCGACTTTAAGTTTCAACTTCAGCTTTCGACTTCAACTGCGGCTCTGTGTCAATCAGCACACGTTCGAATTGGTCGCACTGGTTGGCCCTTCAACTCGAATAGGCATTGGCAGCACCTTAGCCGACCGCGACCTGGACCTACGACGGCCAAAGTTGCCGAACGCTCAATTTTACGCTAATTCGATCAGAAACAAAATCAAACAAAATTAGCCAGCATGATCACCATTATCAACGTCATCATCATTATGATCATCATCTGCATATTATCATTAAAATGAGCTTGCATTCGGAGTCGGTAGGGAAAATGCTGCTGATTGTTATTATTACGAGACTTGCTTCTGTCTGCTGCTCCTGCCTGCTGCTGCACAGTGGCAAGCGGCGGCGGCAGCTGATGCTTCTACATGGCTTAGTTGTTTCTTACAGCACATTTGGAAGCAGCATCAGCCAACAATAATTTATTTCCTGTTTTGCCATCATCATTTGCATTCATCAGCCGGAGCCAATCTGTTGCCAATGTTGTTGTTGGCGTTGTTGTTGCTGTGGCATTTTTCGGTAGTCATTGCGCGCGCTAAATTGTGGCTAGCCAGGCCATTGGCATTTGGCAGCTCCTATCAATTGCCAGCAATTTTCAAACTTTAAAAATTGGCAAGCGCCCACCCAAACGGAAATGGGAACACTTTTTTATACCGTTTGTTTATCCGATCGGTCGGTCACAAAGTGACAAATGGCCACACGTTCGACGCCAGACCGCGAAACAATGACCGCGAACATATGTTTCTGGCTTTTAAACGATACGTAACTTATGAAGCGGCTCCAGTGAGAGCTCAGTACCCGACCCCCATTCACACTCACAGCCCCTTGTCATTGACACTTTATTTGGATTTAACATTTTATAGAATGCAAATTTCACTCAGCTGTTGCATTTTGCGTGCACTTTGTTTGCCGATGGAAGGAATGGAAGGAATGGTGGTGGTAGGAGGAGGAAGGGAGGAAGCGGGGGAGAAGGCAACGGCAACTGATGCTGCATAATTTAGTTGACCAATTTACACTGGAAATCGTTTGCCACTGAGTGCAACCGGAAACGCATGCACCCAAAAGAGCGCCAAAGGCTTTTGTGGTGTGTGATGTTGCTATCGTTGCTGTTGTTGCTATGGGTGTCCATTGCACGCAGAAACACACACCAACATGCATACATATGCATGTACATATGTAAATGCATGTGTACATACATACATATGAACATACTATTTTTGTTCGCCTGCCGGTCGGTCAGCAAAAATGTGCGTTTACCCCTTTTTTGGGTTTGCTGCTGCCCGCCTGCACTTGACATATTTACTCGCAATGGCAATTTGTAAATCGTCCCATAGACAGGACAGGGCAGGACGCATGATGCTGGGGATGCAGGACGTAACACGCTGGACAGGCCCTGCAGGCGGCCATTGAAACGTCGTGTTGGTCGCGTTGAAGGCAGGAAGTGTATATAAAGATCTTCCTCCACGTCGATTCAGAGGTAACCTTTAGCATTCAATTACAAAAATAACGTCATACATATTGCTATGTTTTGAGATTAAAGATTAAATATTAAAGCCAACTGTTTATATAGCTCCTGTAATTTTTGGTGACCTTAACACCTTATTAGATTTTATAAATTAGTAATTTAAGTAATATGTTGTAACGTCAGCATGAGTGTAAATAAAAGATTGTTTATTTTTATAAATTAGCCATTTTTTTATACATTTATGTTTTGTTATACATTTATGTCATTATTTATCACCGATTTTCCAACACATTGGAACATAAGCAAGGTTTAAACATTTATGTTTACATTATTTATATAATTTGTTTTAGTTCCTCGGCATAAGCTATGCATAAAAGTATAAATGTTAAAATGTTTGCATATATGTAGGTTTGATATTTTATGAGTTGGAAAAGTGTATAAAAGTTGATCTATCAATTAAACATAGTGAGTATTCACTAAATCTTTTCTCGAAAAAAAAAAAAACGATACCGTCAAAAATTAAGTTGTATAGAAGATATATCATTGCAACTCTAATGAGCATAATATTGCTGAAATTGTATGGTGTGCTCGAAATAAAGTACTTCTTTAATTATATTAGGTGGGAGTGTTGTGTGTCAACATTTTGAAACACAATATCTATCACGCCTCCACTGAAGCTTCATATACATATATTATGAGTAATTGTGGTCTGAAATAAATATAATTCTTAGAAGCAATACAATTCTTAAATATATGATCCTTTAATATCAGAGTTTATATTCAATTATAATTATTATAATTTAATAATAATCCTGACATCTTTTTGTGGTCCTAAACTATCTTGTGAATTTACTTGTTCTACTGAATATTGCATTTTTCAATTCAATTGATGATTATACTCTGGAGATTTCTCTCACTTGCTTCCTCACACACAACAAAGTTGTTAGCGTAAATTTCAGTATAATTTTCAGTATAAATTTCAATAAAAATTTAAGTTTTTTTTTTTAGCTTTGGAATGTCGATTACGTCTCTGTCACTATCTTACTGCTTTATTTCCAGCTTATAAAACAATACGTCATGCAGAAGCAACCATAGTGACGTAGGCACGTTATGGAACAATCTTTCGATCAGCATGATTTACTTCTCACACGCCTGTTACGTCACTGCTTTTATGACCCATTCACGACTTGTGAATTCTATTGAATTATGGCACTAAAGTTCAAACACACACTCATACATAGATGCTATATACATGCAGGTCCAATGACCTGTCATCCGATCAGGCAGCCTCGGTTCAATTGGCTTATGTATAAATAAATGCATGCATTTTTATTATGTGGTTAAAAATTGTGCCCACCAATCGATAAATATATTTATTGTTGCTGCAAATACACACACAATTATTTATCAGCAACAGACGCATTTGCTGAGTCCATAACTAAATCGGTGCCAGTCCCCCACTAGTCTAAAGTTCATGTGAATTTGATTAAAAACGAATTTGCGAAATATTGTGCGGAACACAGACAGACGCACATTTCCGTCATCTGGCTAGGCCAGATGACTGTTGAACTTAAAGTTTTGGCCATAAAGCGGTGCATTAGCAACAGGTTGGGTGGAGGGGGCGGAACTGGGTGCAGGTCGGGTCTGTTGTCTACGCTAAGGCCGGAAATGCAAATTGCACATTTGCCGTGTGTGGTGTGCCGTGGGCCATGCGTGCCGAATCCTGCCCTGATCCTTTCAATGCGTGGTCCGTCCGCTAAGAGAAAGTGTGCAAAAACTAAAAGCTCATTTGCAGTTACTTCCGTTGCTAAATGAAAATGCATTTCCTGCTTTTGAAAGCGTTTAAACAGCAGCGTCGTCTAGGTTGGGCTGGTGGTGGTGGTTCTGCTGGTGGTGTTGGTGCACCACTGGCACCACCGCTTGGTGTCTGCTGTGACATTTTTATGCAAAATGTTGCAACATCTGTAAATGATTTGCTGCCATTAGAGCAGCCAGAGACAAGCGATGCCCAGACCGAGCCAGAACTCGTATCCTAACATTGCCTAACTACTTCCTTGCACTTCCGGCAGCAGCCACCAAATGCTGCCAGCAGCAAGTTCCAGGTCTCTGCCCAGAGACCGCCATGAGCTCATCACCCTAACCTCAAGCCCCCATAGGTCGCACGCACTGGCCGCAAATGCGTTCGGAATTTCTTGCAGGAACGTATCAGAGAACAAAAAAAACCCATGTGTGGGCAAGAACAAGAATAATTTCAGGCACCTCGAGCCAATATTCATATACTCTAAAATATCGCCCTATGGAAATTACACATGACATAAGTCATTTATATTTTAAATAAAACAATTGATTAAATACGAAAAAAGGAATTAAAACCTATAGTCTCAGTGGGTGGGCTCTTCTTTAACTCTCTTAACGGACATCCGGTTCATCCGAAGACGTCACTTTTTCTTTATCCTAATACCCTATCTGCCCTAGCGAAAAAGTTAGTAGGATAGAAGGGCTACTTGCTTAGCTAGAGCTTTCCGCACATTCTTTATTACTAATCGTATCTCTTTTTCTGTTACTGTATATTTTCCAAATTTTCTAATAATTTGATTTAATATTTCTTTATTTTGATCTTTATTCTTTATTTAAGTTGGAAAAAGCTTAAGCAATTTTAAATGCTGTATTATAACTATATACTTTGGAGTATTATACTGTAGACCTTTTGTGATGCATAGAAGAGAGCAATTTAGACGCTATTTTAAATTGAATTTCTCTCGGAAAATACTTGTATTTTCCACACCTATCTGTCGAATTTCACAACTGTATGATGAATGAATGGGATTTACTGGGATTGGGATTTACTAATTACTACTTGTATATAAAACGGGTCGAAACGGGGTGGGACAGAGAGAGATGCAAATAAGTCCTCAGCATTGCGTAGAAATGTTTCTGAGAGTTCTAGCTCGACTGAAAATATTGAATGCAGGTTTCAAGTGTTACAAGGAATGCTTCAAAAAAGTTCTCCTTTTCTTTTTGCTTTAATATCGTAAGACTAGTGGGGCTTAGAATTAGAACAGCATTGATGTAACAATACTTCTTCAGAGCATTTTCATTTGATTGTGAAATAATGAAGAGTGGATCGCAAGATTAGTCAATCCGGGAGTATTCTCTTATATCCCATAATGTAATAGTATTTTCTACTAACCAAAAGAGTTGAAATTCTTCGAATGCCCGGATGTTCGATGAGGGTGCAAAAAGCGGTCCGCACAGGTCTCCCCACATTGTGGCACGCATCTGGCCATTTAGAGTGAGAAATTGACCATTAAAACAGACAGCTACATATGTTGACAAATGCAGCGCGGGTGGGCAGTAGGAACAACAACAACAACAACAACCATACACATATCAACACTCCCCCCAAAAAGCCAAACCTTGGGCCGACAACAAGTGTATTACGATGTGTGACTTCGGTGCATTGTCTCCAGCGACAATGGCAATAGAAATGGGAGTGGAAATGTCAAGTGGGTGGAAAGAAATCAAGTGGGACTGTAAGGACAGAGGGTACAGGGACCACTACTGGCCAAAAGGCAAGTGCTGCCATTCCCATTCCAATAATCAAATTGTAGGTTTCGCATGCATCGGCATCGGCATTGGCTTTGGCTTGACCATTTGACTTTGGTTCTCATTCTGGTTGTTCTTGTCCGTTGCCTTGTCATGCATCCGGTGCACAATTTTGGCCAGTGAGACGACTAGGTCTAACTGGGAAATGGAAATTGGAGGATTGGGATGGTGGATGGGGGACTGGTGTATCGGATATGGAAATAGGTGACTATTGCCTCAACCGGCGCGACACTTGCAATGCAATTGTGCGTAGGCCGATGATTGCACTTCTGTCCGGGTCCCACTAACCCACCAACCCAGCTGCTGGCCATCAACCCATCCGTTGAACAAATGGGGAACGACTGCATCTATTATGTGCGCCAATAAATAGAGGTAGTTAAGAACTTTGCGGTTTTCTGGTCACTTTTCAATTTGAAAAATGCCTTTTGTCAGTGCTGGCCTGGCAACCGTCTCTCGTACTCGTCTCCCGTCTCCTATTTATGCATGCCAGCCACAAAGTGGCCCCGCTGGACGATAGACAATGGACACTGGACAGTGAACAGTGAAGGTGGCACCACTTGGGGTCACACAGTCTAGTATTTGGGGGATTTGTGAGGCGCTTGGTGCTATGGCCATTAATAGCACTTGTGAGTTCGAGGAATTCGCACGCTTCTGCGAATGTTTAAGCGTAAAAACCAAAAAAAAAATAGAAAAAAGAAGCGCAGTCTAGCAAATGTTGGCGCAAAGTTGTGCAAACATTTTTCCCCCAGTTAGCTCAAATCATCAGGCATTTTCCACCCATTTGTTGCAGCACAGTGCAGTGCAATGCTGCTGAGAAAACCCCCCTGCATGACTCAAACAAACCCAGAATCTGGCACGCGACGCGCCTTCGGCCTGGGCGTGCAATTCGCAACCGGTTTGGCCCGCGGCGCACAGTGTGACAATCTATAGAAAGAGGGACAGTATTTGAGGTTCGTTCCAAATGGTGACGAGTCTAAATGTAAGATCTATCTACAACTACAACTCAACTAAGTGAAGCATATTTGCAAAATACTCTAATAGATTACTTGGCGCTTGAATGCTGCCTAGAGCATGATAGCTATCGATAGTAGAGTCCATCGATGTATTCGATAGTTTTACATGAATCTACCGATACTATCGATAGTTCCATCGAAGATTGAATGGAATTAAAGTCACGATCCTGTACAATGCTGAAAGGCTGCACATCCAATGCGATCATATGCATCAGAACTTTAACCATAATTAATTGCTGAGAAGATATATTTTTGTACATGTTAGGGGGTTGAACAAGCGTATTTTGTTGTAAAGGCTTTTTTCCTTAAAATTTTTCCACAATGTTTCTCTCTTTGCTGTGGCGCTTTTAATTTTATGTTCAGAGACTGTTGTTTCTTAAAAAAAGTAAGAAAACACACATTTTATTAACACAATACTTACTTATTGAAACATGTTAACTTTCACTTTTGAGAAATTTTCCACTTTTTTTCAACTCCAGCCGCAGCATACGCCACCAATCGACATCCAGAAGTGTTTTATTTATATTAAATAAATATTAATAATTTAAAAGTGCACTTGGCCATAATTCCATCGATAGTTACAACATTTTAAAACTATCGATAGTATCGATAGTGCGATCGATATTTCTCATGATTTAATGCTGCCGGTTTCTTTATAAAAACTTTAAATTACAGAGGTTGCCTCCCTCGCTGAAAATTAATGGCCTAGGATGCTTAATATTATTTATTTTAATAGATTCTAAAAAAAGGTTCGATAAAAAACTCATTGTAGCTCATAGCTGCAAATAAAATGTTATCCTCTGTATTCGTAGATCAATGGAACATTTTTAATATTGTATCTTGAAGAGTACAAATTCCTAAAAATTATGCATGATTGGGTTCATTCAAGAAAAGCAAAACAACCTAACAAAAGGGCGCGAGAATACCAGAAAACCAACGAGTGCAAAACTCTCTAAAGACAATATACAACGTGCTGTATGTGGAGAAAAGAAGTACAACTTTCACAATTCCTGAAAAAGAGCATATATTGTGGGATGAAGGGGGAAGTACATACATAATCTAAAAGATACGTATTTTGTAGAATTATTAAACACGAAACATAACGTTTTTCATAAAAAATATATAAGCCCCTCATTTTTCCCATAAAGACCTTTAACCTAATGCCGCCAAATGGGGGATAGAGTGTTCCCATTCTTTTGTGTACAAATAGGATATGATATCTTAAATCCAATATAGTGATTAGGTTTATTGAAGCTCCAAACACACTCGTATAAGCGTAAAAGAAAGCTGTGCCATCGCTTCGTCTGCGTCTTACATGTATTCCGTAGCTTTTGGGTACTGCATATAAAAATTATGCATTATACATATAGATAGGGCATCATCAAGCCTAGGTCTAAGCCCAATAGAAAACTTGTGGATAATCATTAAAATAAAACTGAGAAACGACCCACAACGTGCTCTGTCTGGATTAAAATCACAATTTCAAAAAATGTTGGACTTTATAACTCCTGAAGAATGTCTAAATTTAGTTAATACTATTAAAATGAGAATTAAAGTTGTTATTTAAAATAAAAAAGATGATACTGAGGTTTAATTAGTAAATATTGTTGCCGTACCAATTAATAATGGTCAAAAATATTTCGTGTATTATAAAAGTTGACTTATTTAAATTGATTTTTTGCATTATTGTTTGTAAAACATGTGCCTGTTTTAATATGACAAGTATAAATATGTTTGGGCAATAATCACCTAAAAAGAAATATGTCAGTAAAACTTGTACTATCGTATATAAAGTTTTTATACCCTGTAACACGGTATATTAGGTTTGTGCGAAGTATGTAACAGGCAGAAGGAAGCATCTCCGACCCCATAAAGTATATATATTCTTAATCGACGAGACGAGACGAATCGATCTCGACATGTCCGTGCGTCTGTCTGGATGAACGCAAGGATCTCAGAACGTATAAAAGCTGGAATAACCTTAGTTGGTATTCAGATTCTCCTAGGTCCGAGAAAGGACGAGTTTATTTTATTTTTTTTTTATTTTCCCTACCTTCCCACACTATAGAATTTTGTCAATACTGTCGACATTTCAAAAGCTACATTAACCAAACCAAATTTTATAGTTTTGTTTCAAATTTCATCTTAATCGGTTAATGCTAAGAAAAGTTTTTAGCGAAACAATTACACTCTGGTACTACACCCACAAACTGCAGCTTCAACTTCGCTCGTCCTCTTCTTCTTTTTGCTTCTATTATTGTCTGGGTACAGGGCATTAAACTGTCGGGCTCGCTTTTGGCATTCTTATTAAATAAAGTTGTATTTTTTAGTGGGTTGTGTCGGTGTGCATAACATTTGTTTGCATTACAATGATATTCAATAAATGAAATAATTGTATTGGTTGACCCATGTGGAAGTACTTGATACCACTGTGGGAGACTTTTGATTTATGGGGTTCGAAAACCCATCAAAATGCCAAGCAAGAAATATTGGAGTGTTGAGTTTTGGTTGAGAGCTACATATACAAGTATGGCGAGAGTCAAGAGTACAGAGTCCGGATTCGGGAGTCGGCAGCTGGGAGCTGGGAGACGCGTGTGGGTCGCTCGTTTCTCTCGCTGTTTTGCGGTTGCACCAAATATCCTGCGTTAATTGTTAATTTGCATTGTTGTCGCCCATGTGACCGCCATTTCCGTTGCAACAGCATCAGCATCAGCAGCGTTAACTGCAACAGCAACAACAACAACAACAATAACAACAGAGCCAACATTGTTGCTAGCCACAAAAATGAAAAAGGCAACACGGGCCCAGTGCATACATACTTGGCCGCTTTGGAGTTCCCAGTTTTTACGACTATCAAATTTGATGGGCTACGACGAGTACGAGCACAAGTGGCAGCGGGTCTTGAATACTAATGCGATCCGGTCCGATGCGAAAAATCCAAGTTCAGGGCAGTGGTATTGGATTTTGGCTTTGGGTTACGTGCGGACAGAGGCGGCGCACGAGATTTACGCATGCCATCGTCTCATTACGTGCGATTAATAGTCGCTTACGTCGCTCGGAACTGTGTGGGTGAATCACTGGTCTTGTCTGTCTCTCCGTCTGTCTGTCTGTCTGTCCGTCTCGGCGATCTTCCAGTCTTACTCGTACGATTCGTCTCCCTCTATAGTGTTTGCGCATTGGCGTGTTGTTGTTAGTTTGGGTTTTGGATTGCAAATAAACTTTACGGCGGGTTTTTCTTACCCACAGCTTTCCGTTACAAGACGAGAACGTGCCGCAGATCCAAAAAATACAGATACAGATACAGATACCGGTGCACTCGCTTACAACTCATCCTAGCTATGCAACTGGCCGCAAGATTGCACCTTCCAGTCCATTCCCAGACATCGATGTGGACTTGTCCAGCTTGTGGATCGCTCTTTTGCCATGATTTGAGCTTGGCTTTTGGATCCCAGTGCTGGACATGGATGTGGTCTTGTTTACTTTCCTGATACTTTTATTCAGAGTGTCTGATGTCCGGCCAGCCTCCCATTTCATGGAGCGCTCCCACTCTTCGCAACTAATGGATAATGACGAGCTGTTCAATGCGTTGTCGGTGGCGTCAGGTCGCTGACTGCCCCGCCTCTCCTCGCTCCCGGCCCTATCCATTCGGCTTGACTCGCTTATCAATTGCCTTGATATGGACATAACGCTACTTGAGCGCTGTATGCCAAACAAGATGAGCAAAAATGAACACACTAACTTACAAATTTTGGCAATCGTCTTAAACATTTTGCACAATTTTACACAAATAACACTAATAAATGGAAACAAATAATAATAATAACGACAAAAATAGGAAATATTATCCGTACAAATGAATTTTTCACTCTACGTGACAAACAATTGAAATGTGTGAAAATATAAAGGCCTACTTCCTAAATTCCCAAATCAACTAAATGTAAGCTAAATGTATCATTTTCAACTCCTACAGATGGTCCCTGGCATAGCTCAACGAGCTAGCCGGGGAAACCACATCTGTGAGTTATCGATCCTTCAACAGGCACTCTTGGGTCACCACAACACCAGAACCACCGTCACAGCAGTTATATAATATAATTATGTATGTGCGTAGAAAAATTAATAAAATTAAAAAAAACACGTTTTTTTAAAGATTTTACTTCGAACTCACGTAAAGGGTATAACTGAACATTTGCATAAGAATAAGATGTATGCATGTCTATGCGTGTCTATTCGTGTCTATTCGTGTCTGTGTGTGAGCAGGTATGCAATATAAAGTTGAACTAAAGCAACAACAACAGCAGCGCTTGGGCAAATATTACATTTATAGCTACAAGTATTACCAAGGTCGTCCTCCCCCTACATCTTAAGAACAAAAATTCACACTCTGAAATCAACAACTCATTCATTATTATGGTGCACTATTTTGCTTTAAAATGGAACTGAGTTGGATTTGTTGATGTTTTTCTGTTGATCATATGCATAAATTATTATTTTACCGCATCGTGCATTATTTAATCAAAATCATATTTATTTAATGTCAAAGTTATCATAACATTTAATGTTCGTCCTCCAGCCTATGTAGGACAGATCTTAAATAAAGATTAAAGATTCACAACAGAAAAAAGACTCAAGCACATTCCATTATGGATTCTTTAAGCTTATGTTCTTTATTCAAGCTGTTTAAAGGCTCGATTCGTTCGTTCATATCCATTATCTTAAAAATACAGTGAAAACTCCCTTAATGGACACGTCTTTTATCCGGACATTCTTTTCGGCGAACACTTTTTCTAAAACATTCGATTGGTCATTTATTAACTGATAGCTTAGGCCATTAAACAAATAAGACACCTAGTCTTTTCAATTGCGAACTCGTCGAGTTTTTATTTTTAAAACGGCAAGCAAAGCTCTTTTAATTTTCTAATAATAATAGTTAATAGCTTTTATAGGTTTCCACTCTATTCCAGTTTCCAGTCGAACACATGACAACCAATAGATATCTTTCAATTTACAGCATCTTCCAGCTAACACTTGTATACACCTTTCAGTAAACTGAACAGACAGTTTACATTATCTGCCAGTTTTTTTTTGTTTTCCAATTTGCAGTATTAATCAATTAGCAATGCTCTCTAGATTCCACCATCTGCCAGCTTTCAGTTTATACTAGTATTATAACTTTAATTTTGTGGTCTATTGTAGGCTATTCGAATTTCCCTTTTTGCTGCAATTAACAGTTTCCAATTTGTTGTTTAAGTTCCAGTTTCTGGCTGCCTATTGTTTCCTTAAGTTTCATTTCATTCGCATACAAAATATTGTTAAGCTATTTGTTATTCAGTATTTTCTAGCCTTCGAGCATTGACTTCAATTGATGGCTTTCTAAATGGCTTTAAAGTTCAATTTCAATTAGCCAACAATTTCTTTTTTGCTACGTCTGTATGTGTGTGGGTGAGTGTTTTTATTTTATTTTATTTTATTTTATATTTATTTACGCTGAATATGTTTAATAAGCGGTTAGAGCAACAACATCAAAGTGCATGTGGTGGCTATGCAAATCACAACAACAGCGGTGATTTAAGCTTTCGTTGGGCGCTGGTGCTAAAATAATCAAAAGGCTAATAAAATCGCTGTAATGATGTGGCAAATGCAGCAGCAACAGCAACAGCAACAGCCGTATCGGGCTAATCACTCAACACTTTGTAGCCTGCAGTCGAAATATCTGAAACTTTAGCCAAATGAACAACCGCTAATCAAGTTCACAGGTTGCCAAAACGTTGCGTGTGACAGCGCTGCGACCGCACAGCCGCACAGCCGCAGAGGCGCGACGGGACGGGATGAGACGCGATGTGACGTGACGCGACGCGACGCGACACATCCACATCCACAGCCCAAAACACCAAAGCCCATAACTTTCACCCGTTGTCCAAAAGCATTGCGGGCATCAGCGGCCATGACCTTCACAGCCCCCGATACCGCCACCGCCACCAACACCGCCAAATAGCAACAACAACTCATCATTCGCTACTCTGTCGGTACAGACTGTGCCAAAAGCGCATCGACTCTAACATGAATTTAATAACAGACGGCCAACGCCGAAGTCCATAACTAGAGATGAGTTCGATATTGTGCGTTAACACTAACCGGAATTGCCATTCAAGAAAAAAATACTCTTGAAACTCGACTTGAGTCACCAATTTAGATGAGCACAAATTTTTTGGAATTGCGTTCGTTCTAGTACTACTGACATACTTAGCACTACAACTAACTTATTTGTTATCTAAAAGTTGACTGGCAAGTTTTAAATGCTCTTATAGTTTTGGAGACCTCGCGCTCAATTGTGACATTGAAACGAAAATGCTTTCCATACTTCAAAGTTTCCCTGACAAATTTGAAATACAGCTAGTAGTACCAGACCCTTACTCGATATGGTGACCCCGTGATGAGCACCAAAACAAATTTCTGCTTTGCTTTCTTTAAAGTACAAAGTCGCCTTCTAATTATAAATAAAAAGAATGGTATACATAAAGAGAGATATGAGCTTAAAAATAAATATGAATACACAAAATAAATATGAAATCACAAAATATAAAATCACAATTATACAAACCAGGGATGAATTTTTTCTATCGAAACTGCTTTTCATTTCATTTTATTTATGCAAATATATTTTGTATATACCTGCTATACTATTTTAAGAGAGGAATTACTCTCGCATGTACATAAGGCATATTTCAAAAATGCAATTTTCCATATGTAGCTTGCTAGAATTGTAAAAAAAAGAAGTTGTGGATGATTTCGACGCACTACGAATACGAGAATATTGATGACTTTTGAATTATGGAATGGAAATCAGATCATTATTATAAATCATATTATTATTTTTAAATTATATGTATATAATTCGGATAATTTGCAAGTAATTTTTAATAGCAAGCATTTGTCTGGAAATCTAACTTATTCAGTAGAAAGTTCTATTAATTTTTATACCCTGTATCCAAAGGGTAAAAGGTATACTAGCTTAGTGCGAATCTAAGTAACACACAGAACGGACCCCTAAAAGTATTTATATTTTTGATCAGTATGACAAGACGTCCGTCTGTCTGTCTGTATGAGCGCAACGATCTCAGCAAGTACACGAGCTAGGATAACCAAACTTGGTATCGAAGTTCCCCTAAGCCCTAGGCAGATAGAGTTTGTTCTTTTTTCTGATACACCCCCTCCCCCCCCCCCCCCCTCACTCCACCGCTATTAGTGATTTTCTATAACTCTTGTAATTCTTCGAATTTTTGAATCAAATTGAGCAAATACCTCCAGCTAGTGCTTATAAGGCCATACGTCATGTTTCATTATGATAGGCTGATTTTAAAGGAAGTTATAGCTATTTATTTAATCTCTGCCCTAGCGCAGCTCCCAGCTGTAGTTGTTGTTACACGCATATAAACACGCAGAGACACGTTTCTGATGTGAATTTATGCTTTTGGAACTGTACATATGCATTAATTATTTATTATTTAATTTTATAAATTAATGAAATTTTTTTAAATAAATTATTAAAATATTAAAAAATACATTTTTCTTGGTATTTCAATGTCGACTGTAGCGTGCCCTCTTGTTTGCTTTAAACAACATGCAAGCCTAATCCCATTCTAAACTAAAGCAGTAATCAGTGTTTGCGGGAAAATGTTAATAATTTTGAGAGAGTGCCATAAAGTTAGGGATGTGACTGAATACATAGCATAGTTTCTAGAAATAGTTACATACTCGTGTTATTATTGTCACGATGCCATCTCTAGTTAAAACAAAAACTGAAACCGTTGCAACTCCTGTGTTTTTCCTGTCCCTTCGCCCCTTTGTTCTATTTGTGCATTTTGTGTGCAACTTTTTGCTCCACCCTGTCCGAAACACCCGCCAATACATGATACCCTTCCCCCCTACCCCGCCACTCGCGGCAAGGCACGGGATGCGTTGGCCTGTTGGTTGTCTACGTTCGATTCTGATGTGCGTCTGACACATGCCAACACATTAGTCCTGTCTGTGCGTGTGCGTAAGTGTATATATGTATATGTTTATGTATGTATGCGTGTGTGTGTGTGTGTGTGTGTGTGTGCTGTGTATGAGCTTTGGCTAATTTTATTTCGTGTCCGTCAGGACGTTCGGTCTGTCGCTCCTGTAGCGTTTTTGTAGCACAAATTAGTCAAAATTTGCATACAAAATTCGAGGCAACCAGGCAAAGACATCGTCCTGTTGGGCAAAAGCTGTCCAAAGACTCCCCGCCAGCTGCGCATTCTTGCATGTTTTGGCCATCTGCGCAGGTGTTGTAGAAATACATTTTTTAAGTTCTCCTGCTTCCCTGCTTAGATTGCCCATTTTTTCGGTGATTTACCAGTGGCAGGCAATGCTCCCAAAATTCTGACACCTTGCAGCCACCAAACTGTCGGCCTCACCGAAAAGTGCGTGACCTTGCAACACAGCTTTGACAGCCTTAATACCTGCGACTGACTGATGTCGAGTGTCGAAAATTAAACAAAGTGCTTAACAGGCAGAGAGCTACATTTGAATAAATAATTTAAAATAAATATGTATATTATATTGATGTTAATCGTCTGAAGTACACAATGTAGTTCAAGAGAAAAAGGAATGTAAAGCTAACAAGTTTTTAATTTATCCTTTTTCCTAGTCCTCAGTGGTTTTGAAAGGGAACTACATAAATGACTGCCTCGTCATCTGTTTAGCTTAACATTAAAGAAAACAATTAATGCAATTTTGTTGACGAG